TTCACTGAGCTGAGTCAAGGGAAGTTGTGTTGGGACTTAGCCTGAGGAAGGAAAGGAGGGCTTCCTGCCTGCCTGGGAGAACTGCTCTAGGCCCTTCCTGCCTGCCCTTGCTCCACAGCGCTGGTCGCAGCGCCCCCTGGTGGGGCTCAGGAGCAGCTGCTAGGGAAGTATACAAAACACACACATTAACACCACACACACATGCACACACACAGGCACAGGCACACACACAGGCATACACACATACACACACACAGGCATACACACACACACACACGCACACACGCACATGCACAGAGGACAAACGTCAAGACCGGAGTTGAACCTTGGAAGGGTGAGACCTGGAGTTCTAATGGGGTACGTGTACATGTGTGTGTGTGTTTGTGTGTGTTTGTGTGTGTGTGTAGTAGGCATGTAATTGGAGCAGGGGAGCATAATATAGCTCTTACTTCACAGATAATTTTGATTTTCAACACAAGTCAGAAACTTTCCCATTGGAAAAAACAAATCCAACTGTGTAAGCCAAACAAAACAAGCAGAGCCAGGCGGGGTTGCACACCACCAGGAAGGTCAGATTCACGTGGAAGGAGGAAAGAGTGATAATATTGAATCCTGACACATAAACAAGAAACAGACTGGGTAACAGAAAACATTTTGAAGAAAATATAAAAACCACAACCATTAATGTGTTTGACAAAGAGGAAAAAAGAATCATCTTGTTAATTCATTTGTTATTCTAGTATCTTTACTTTTTACATGGATTTAAAAAAAACTTTCTATAGTAGTAAAAACTAGGAGGTCTTGATCAAAATTATGGGAGGGAACATTCAAATAGAAAACTTTTAAAATTTTATTTTTATTTATTTATTTATTTTTTAAATTGATTCACCATGAGGTACAGTAACAAAGCTTTCATGTTTGAGCCTCAATCATACAGTCATCAAACACCCATCCCTTCTCCAGTGCACGTTTTCCACCACAAAAGTCCCCAGTATCCACCTCCCCATACCCATTCCACACCTACCCTTGCCTCTGTGGCAGACAATTTTTTTTCTTTTTTTTTTCCCCTTTATTTTATTTTATTTTTTTTTAAAGTTGTAGATTTACAATTTTTTGTGCTTTGGTTTCAATTATACAATGATCAGATACCCATCCCTCCACCAGTGCCCATTTTCCACCACCATGGATAATATCCCTCCCACCCCCATCCCCCCATCCCCCCTGTCTCTGTGGCAGGGCAATCCCCTGTGTTCTCTCTCTCCTTTTGGGTGTTGTGGTCTGCAAAAGAGGCATTGAGTGGCAAACATGTTCAGTCCATAGTCTACTTTCAACATGCATCTCCCCTCCTGGGAGGATCCTCCAAACATCCTTTATTTGGTGCTCCCTTCTCTATCTGAACTGCCCTTTCCTCTAGGATACCCGGCTGGCCTCTAAGTTATGGAGTAATCCTCCTGGTGCTGATCTCAGCTATTCTTGGGTATTAATCTCATACTTTGTTACTTTATATCCCCCAGATGAATGCAATCTTTCTATGTCTACCCCTCTCTTTCTGACTCATTTCGCTTAGCATGATACTTTCCATATTGTACCACTTGTATGTAAATTTCATGACTTCATCTTTTCTAAGAGCTACATAGTACTCCATTGTGTAGATGTACCAAAGTTTCTTTAACCAGTCATCTGTTCTTGGGCATTCAGGTTTCTTCCAGTTTCTGGCTATTGTAAAGAGTGCTGCAATGAACAAACAAGTGCTGATGTCACTTCGACTATACATTTTTGCCTCTCTGGGATATATTCCCAGGAGTGGTATTGCTGGGTCAAATGGGAGCTCAATTTCTAATTTTTTGAGAATCGTCCATACTGTTTTCCAGAAGGACTGAACCAGTGGACATTCCCACCAACAGTGAAGGAGTGTCCCTTTCTCGTGTGGCAGACAATTTGCACAATACTCTCTTTCTCTTTGGTTACCTTTGACATTTGTGTCCAGTCCCATCACCACTCATACCTGCCTAAAATGCAATGCTAGACAGTGTATTTTATATTGCTTGTTACGGATACAATATAATGCCGCATGGCTGAGAGAGTGGCCGCACACTCTAGGCATTCTAAAATTTTAATAATTAGGGTCTCAAGAGATCACTGCAGCAAGTTGCTCTCATCCAAGATTCATTTGTGTGTCTCTGGATCATGACCATATGGGAGCTTAAATAGACAGTGGCCGCGTTTGGGCATCATTTCAGAGTCCCATCAAGGCAAGGGGGACAGAGAAGGACCCAGGAGCCACCGTTACCCGTACCTAGAGCTTTTCGCTGATGGCAGCCACCGGGGTTCCTAGAGGGCAGGCAGAGAAACAGCACCTGCCCCTTCCTGGAGTGGCCCAGAGAAAAGGGCCTATTGCAAAGTCCAGAGCCATCTCTGCCATAAGTTGTTTGGGTCCGAGATTCATTTGTGTGTCAAAATAGAAATTTTTTTTTCCAGGGAGGGACTGGAGAGATAGTACAGTGGGTAGGGCACTTGCCTTGGATGCAGCCTACCTGGGTTCAATCCCTAGCATTCCATATGCCTCCCCCCGCCCCCCCAGTACCACCAAGAGTGAGTCCTGAGTATAAAGCCAGAGGTTTGTCGGGTGGGGCCTCAAAACCAAAAATAAATGAATAAAAAATAAAAGGGGGGGGCTGGAGCGATAGCACAGCGAATAGGGCGTTTGCTTTGCACGTGGCCGACCCGGGTTTGAGTCCCAGCATCTCATATGGTCCCTTGGGCACCGCCAGGAATGATTTCTGGGTGTAGAGCCAGAAGTGACTCCTGTGAATCACCAGGTGTGACCCAAAAAGCAAAAAAAAAAAAAAAAAGAAATCAAAGGGGCTGACATGATGGGTGTTTGATGACTGTATGATTGAAGCTCAAACATGAAAGCTTTGTTACTGTACCTCATGGTGAATCAATTAAAAAATAAATAAAAAATAAAAATAAAATTTATAGCACAGTGGGTAGGGCGTTCGCCTTACAAGCGGCCAACATGGCCGACCCGAGTTCGATTCCTCCGCCCCTCTCGGAGAGCCCGGCAAGCTACCGAGAGTATTCGATATGCCAAACACAGTAACAACAAAGTCTCCAATGGAGACGTTACTGGGCCCGCTCGAGCAAATCGACGATCAACGGGAGGGCCTTTACCTTTACCTTTTACCTTAAAATTTAAAGGGCGCCTGCCTTGTATGCAGCTCACCCAGATTCAACCCTCAGCCCCCCATATGGCTTTCTGAACTCACCAAGAGTGATTCCCAAGCACAGAGCCAAGAATAAGCCCTGAACACAGCTGGTGTGCCTCCCAGTTTTTAAAAACATTTTATCTTTGGATTTGGGGGACATGCAAGCCACAGCTCCAAACGCAAAAGATTATCAGCATGTTTACAGGGGAAGTTTCCACTCTTCCCAGACTCCCTCACAGAGTAATGGTATGCCTGCCTTTCTGTGCTCAGGCCAAAGTCCACATTCCTTCCCCAGCACAGTCCTTTCATCTTGCCCGTTACCGCCCTCCAATCGCCTTTGCCCTCACCTCTTGCCGGCTGATGCCTGTGGAGATCAGAGCTCTTTAAAGGCCCAGGACCCGACTGAGAGTAGCACTCAGCTGGGCTGGAATGAAAGTCACTTTCCTGCACCACAACGGCCCATTGTCCTCAGAGCACGTGGCCTCTGGAAGCTCAGGAACTTGCATTGGGCAGCAGAGACCCAACTTTCCCCGGATCCCCACCCGCAGGCCGCACTCTGCCACAGCCTGTGCATCTCCTTGGGCTTCAGGGTGGTGCCTCGTTAACTAAGGAGGAGCCCTGGCACTGGGTTCTCTAGTTCACCTCTTATTGGGCCTAAGGGGGACTATGACTCCAAAGGTGCAGGAGCCCGAGGGGGCACAGGCGCGGTTCTCACTGGGAATGAGGGTGTGGCTCTCCAGCTTTGGACCCTAGTGATGTGGAGCACTCCTCTTTCCTCTGAGTTTTCCTCAGGATGCTCAAGTAACCAAAGGAACACCAGATTGGTGGGGGCAGGGGACCACATGGTATCAGAGCTAGAACTTGGGTCCTGGGACCAGAGAGAGTGCAGATAATCAGGCACTTGTGCCGCACAGCCCTGAGCCTGGGTTGATCCCCAGCAACACCTCATATTATCCCCTGAGCACTGCCAGGAGTGATCCCTGAGCACAGAGTCAGGAGTACGTCCTGAGTACTGCCAGGTGTGGTCCCCAAATCCAAAAATATTCACCTTGGTGGTGTCAGGGAAATCCTATGTGTTACTGGGGATTGTGCCCTGGTCCACTGTGTGTAATGCAGAAGGCCTGCAGGAAGGGAGCTGTGAAAGGTAAAGCAAGACATGCCTGATTGTAATCGGCCAAAAAGTTGGGCAGCTGCCTCAGGGGGCTAAGTGCTAGTTCTGTTTTGGCCAGGTTCGACCCTTGGTGCTGGATCCTCTGCAGAGCACCACCTGGAGCACGGACACAGGAACAGCCCTGAGCACCTCCAGGTGACCTGCCCCGGCCCCGCCCAAAGAGCTTCATTTTAACCGAAACATAAAAAAAAAGTTCGTTATCCAGAAACTACCAAAGAGTGAAGCATTACTCAGATCCACCAGTGAGCTGCGTGGCCCGAAGGTGAAGAGACAGGCTGTAAAGGGACCAGGCGGCGGCCACAATCTTCCCCGCTGCCGTCGGGGAGTCCACGCGCCGGGAGAGGCGCCCGGGCCCTGGCAGGAGCGGGCAGCGCCCTCGGGGAGGGTGGGCTTCTCCGACGCGGGAGCGACAGCCTGCAGCCTGTCCCGCGCCCCCGAGCCAGGCTAGAGCGGGGCGCACTTCGCGCCAGGCTCCCCAGCGGCTCTGGCGTTGGGGGCACGCAGCTGGTGCCAAGGAAAGTTTTGACCTGGACGGTGCCAGCCCGGCCGGCAGCCAAGTGCAGCGCGGGGGTGGGGTGGGGTGGAGGGTGGCGGTCGGGGACCGGAAGGGAGCGAAGGGAAGTGCGCGCGAGGGGCCACCCCGGAGAAGGTGGCGCTTGTCCCGCGGGCTTGGGGCGTCGCGACCGCCTCTCGGGGGCGCCCGAGGTCGAGCCAGAGCCTGTCCCCGCGCCCGACCGGCCCGCAGCGCGTCGGATCCCCGAGCCTGCCGTGCGCCCCTGCCCGCCCGCTCGCGCCCAGCCGCTGCCCATGGGCGCCGCCGGCTCCACCGCGCTCGCCCGCCTGGGCCTCCCCGAGCCCGGCCGCACCCGCTGGCTGGGGGTGGCCGCGCTGGGGGTGGCCGCGGTGACCCTGGGGGCCGTGGCCTGGCGCCGCGCGCGCTCCCGGCGGCGCCGGCGGCTGCAACAGGTGGGCACCGTGGCGCAGCTCAGAATCTACCCGCTCAAGTCGTGCAAGGGGGTGCGGGTGAGCGAGGCCGAGTGCACGCCCCTGGGGCTGCGCAGCGGCCACCTGCGGGACAGGTAGGACGGCACCGCGCGCGCAGGACCTGCAGTCGGGGGCCGGGGAGGCGTGGGCTGGCCCCGGGTGGGAGCAGGAAGGGGCCGCCGCCCGCCGTCTCACGCTGTTGGTGGCAGCCCCGGCCCTTGGCGGCCCGCAGGACAAGTCCGGTTTCTGCAGGTGGGAAAGGAGCCGGGTCCGCGCTCGTCCCTCTCGGGACGGCAGTTGGCGTCTGCTCGGCGGGGGTCTGGGCGCGCTAGCCAGGGCTTCTGCTCCCTCTGAACTTTCCGTCTTGGCCAACTCCGCGGGCGCAGCGGGCAGGTCGAGCTGGGCAGCGTTCCGGGACGCTGCCTTGGACTCCGCTGGGCTTTGTACTTTCCCCACTCTCGGCCATGGGAAAGGGGCCTGGGAGAGCCGGCAGAGCCGGCCTATTGTCAGCAGAGTGGATGAGTGTGAGCAGAGGGAATCAGGCCTGGTGTCCCTCCTCCAGAGGCACAGGGCTCAGGAGAGCCCTCCTCAGGAAGAGATGGGGGGAAGGATGGATAGGACGGAGAGGCGCTTGCCTTGCACGTGGCTGACCCCACTGCCCCATATGGTCTCCTGAGCCCCATCAGGCCGTGATCCCTGAGCCAGAGCCAGAAGGAAGCCCAAAGTACAGTTAGGTGTAGTCCACCCCCCGCCAATAAATTTGGGGGAATGCCCCCAACAGCAGACCTCACATGTTATATCTGTGGTTTTTGTTTGGGTTTGGAGCCGGCAGTACTTAGCCTTGCAGCCCTTGTATCCCCCTGGGTACTCGCTGCTTCCCTGTACCCCTAAAGGCTGTGTCCTGAGCTTATTTAAAAACTTAAATTTCCTGTGAGTCTCAGCCTATATTTGCGGATCAAAATTGCCAGGAGCAAAGCCAGTAGTTTGCTTAAGTGTTGAAATCTTCCCCCAGGTGATTCTCTGCCCCGGATTAAAGGGGTTTATTTGGGATTATTGAGAAGAAGAAGATGTTCAGGATTTATGGAGTGTGAGGATTAGAGACTCTCTTCCTGTGAGAAGCTGCAGAGCTCTGCACGCCCTCCCAAAGCTGGGAGAGGTTCTTGCTTATACTGCACAAGAGAATCGTGCCTGCTTCTTCTCGGTGTTGTTTTTGGGCCACGCCCGGACGTGTTTAGGGCTTATTTCTGACTCTGAGCTGAGTGAGCTGAGAGATCACTCCTGGTGGGTTCAGAGGACCATGTGGGGTGCCGGGGATCAAACCTGGGTCAGCCGAATGCAAGGCTAAGTGCCCTACCTTATGTACCATCTCTCTGATCCAAAGATTCCTGAGTTTTTACGAGGTGGGGTGCACATTCCTGGCAAAGGTCAAGCCCAGGCCAGCCAGCAGTGCCCGGGCATCTTGCCATGGCAGGGATGCACCCAAGACCTTCCTCGTATGTACAAGGCGTGCAGCTCCCATTCAGCTGTGTTCTCAGCTCCAAGGTTGAGGCCTTTCCCAGAATGATTTCCAGTTCCTGTCTGAGTTTCCTTGGGTCCTCCGAGTAGCTTTGGCTTTCCACTTCTCATGATGCTACTTGTCTGTGACTCCCAGGAATCTGACCTTTGCATGTCTGCTCCTCGTGGGCATCCTAAATTCAGTGGAACTGGATCCACTTTTCTTGCTTTTAAGCCATCGGTGCTTGGCATGGAGTGGGGTGGGGAGTTGTGTTGAAGAAACTTTTACTCAGTGCATAATATAGGTCTGAGCTAGGTCTGCACGGAGATGGCTTTATTACTCCACCTATGACTATATCACGGTCTGGATCTTAACGTTGCAACCAAGGAAGCTGGATCTATCAAGGAAGCATTTGAACCAAGATCACTGTTAGACATGAAGTGCTGGAGGATTAGAATTTGGATCTCTGTGGCAGCAGTGTCTCTGTTCTATGAAACCAGTGTCTGATTAGGAAGGATCATCTGGGACCGGAGAGATCATACAGAAGTTATTGTTCTTGCCTTGTAAGCAACTGAATCTGGTTTGATTCCCTGGGCGACATATGATCCCCTGAGCACAACCCCAGGAATGATCACTGAGCACAGAGCCAAGAGGAAGTTTTGAGCACTACTGGGAGTGGCGAGAGAAAGGAAGAAAAAAAGAAAGAAGAAAGAAAAAAAAGAAAGAGAAGGAAAAAAGAAAAAAAAGGGAGAGGAAGGAGGAAAGAAGTTCCTAGCCACCAGCGAGTTTAACCTGAAGTCTTCATCTCTCTTCGTTTTTGTATGGAAAAGAGAAAGTTTGAACCTGGTAATATCTGAGCCCGTATCTAATCTGGGCTGTATTAATTCAAGGTTAATTGAGACCCGGAAAGCTAGCAGGGGAGACCACTGTGAAGTGATTGCGTTGTTCTCCTCACCAGAGCCTGAGTCCCACACTTGAGTCCTGTGCCTACATGCTGGAAAGAGCTAGGGTCTTTGGAGATGTTCTTAGAAGCAGCTCATCTTCCGGGGGCTCTCAGGCCTATGACATCTGGAGAAGTGCATTCCGCCTCCAGGCCTCTTTGTAAATGTGTAGCCAGGGCCCCTGACTTTGGATTCATCTGAAGTCCACTTGCAGAGGGCTGGCATTGCCCAACCGCCACCACCACTGGGGAGCAGAGTCCCTGGGGCTCCCTGGGCCTTGCAAAGCTCCCCCAGTTGACATGCTCCTTTAATTTTTTAATTGCATCACAATGAGATACACAGTTACAAAGTTGTTCCTGACAAGCTCCTTAACCTGCACCTGCCCTCTCTGAAGCCTGGCCTTGGTTTATTCCAGCACATGTGAATTCCCTGAGCGCCCTTCCCTTCCAGAGTCCACGTCCACTCTTGGGGCGGGGGCTCCCGCCTTCTCGGACACCATCTTGCCCAATCCCCAGTCTAGCCTGTCACTGTGAACATGAGTGTTCTGGCTGGAGAGATCACGCGAGGGGCTGGGCATGTGCTCTGCAGGCAGGAGACCAGGGTGTACTGGGTAATGAGGGTAGCAGCCCCCACGCACAGATCAGACGGTCCCCCCAGAGCCTTCCTTCCTGTCCTGCCGGCCTGCTGCCCTGCCCCTTCTGTTTCGGGAGTCCCCAGGCTCCTAGCGGACCCCTCCTCCATCCACTGACTTTCTGTATCCATCCAAAGTAGCAGCTTTGAGTTACTGTATTTTTGTTTGGGGGCCACACCTGGCAGTGCTCAGGAGTCACTCCTGGTGGTTCATGGACCCGGGCAGTCGCATGAAAGGCCAGCGTCCTGCCCTCTGCACTCTCAGTGTTTGGCTTTAGAACAGGGTGGGCTGTGTGTCCTGGGAAAGGCCTTTGTCCTTCTGGGTCTGATGGGCAAAGCTGGCTGTTCGTTCCCAGGTCAGGGCTGAAAACATGCCTCCCCGGGTGGTGGGGGGGTCGGAGGGCAGTGGGGCCGGCCAGCATTGACCTTTGGCCTTTGGTGGTTGCCTCTGTCAGGTCTTTTGGGCTGCGAGAGGTGGCCACTTGCCTTTAGAGTCTTGGCGTCAGTCCAGGCGCCTCTCCTTGCCGTGACCTCTGGTTGTGGCACAGGAGATCCGGGTTCCTGGTGGGCTTGGGGGCTAGGGTGAGATGGGGATGGGTGGGAGATGAGAAGCTCCATCAAGGTGTCAGAAGGAAAGTGACCACCTGTGACTGCCAGCTGGATGCCGGCCCATGCCCCCAGCCTCCGGGGTGGAAGTGGAGGGCGCAGGCAGGGACGCACCAGAACAGGGTCCCCCAGGACTCTGCACCCAAGGGTGAGGTTGGAAGAGGCTCTGGACAGGGAGTTACGAAGGCTGCACCCTGCCTCGCCCCACTGGGGAGCAGGATAGACAATCCAGGGTGACAAAGACACCTCAGCAGCATAGCCAGCCTGCCTTGCCGTATGTTCCCAGCTCTGGGGGCAGGAGCAACCCTGACAATTCAGGCAACAGCACTGTACCTTCACCCCCCACCCCCGACCTCTGCTCCCTCCGTGTCCTTGCACCCACATGGGCAGTTGGGTGGGGGTCAATCAGTGTCTTGCAGAGAAGAGACAGGTCAGTCCAGTGCCTGAATAGGCTCTACATGATCGGGAACCTTCAGCAGAGACTGAGCAGCATGGCAGGCCCTGAGCTGTCCATGCCTCCGTGTCCTCACTGCATTATTCCAGATGTCACACGTAGCTCTCGTGGGCCCTGAAATAGGCACCTTGCAGAGTCTCACCCTCCCCCCAGTCCAAAACGACCCTTGCTCCACTGCCTACGTGCTTGGAAAATCTCCGGCTTTGTGTTGCCGCTCATTACTTTTGTCCATGAGCCCAGCACTCTGTCCAGTGCAGTGAGGTTGAAACATGCATTTCCAAGGAGGCAGAACTCCTAGTTGGGAGGCTTGGGCCCCACCCCACAGTGCTCAGGTGTGGCCCCGGGCGGTGCGGAGGGGCTATGTGTGGTGCCAGAGATCCAGCTGCATTGAGGCGGCTGCCCCAGCAGACAGGAGCTTTCCCTTGGGCCTTGCTGGTTTTTTGTTTTTTGTTTTCTAACTAAAACTCTTAACGATATATTATTTATTTATTTATTTTTAGACTTACAAATTTTTGTGCTTAGGTTTCAATTATACAATGATCAAATACCCTTCCCTCCGCCAGTGCCCATTTCCCACCACCACGGATCCCAGTATCCCTCCCACCCCTCATCCCCCCCATTCTATGCTGCCTCGGTGGCAGGGCATTCTCTTTTGTTCTCTCTCTCCTATTGGGTGTTGTGGTTTGCAAAAGAGGCAATGGGTGGCAATCATGTTTGGTCTATAGTCTACTTTCAGCATGCTTCTCCCATCCTGGGAGGATCCTCCAACACCCTTTCTTTGGTGCTCCCTTCTCTATCTGAGCTCCCTTTTCCCCTAGCATGTGTGGTTGGCCTCCAAGCCATGGAGTAAAATTCCTGGTAATCTCGGCCATTCTTGGGTGTTAGTCTCCTATTTTGTTACTTTATGTTTCCCAGATATCAAGGATATACAAAGTACTGGTTGAACTCCACAAGAAGAAAATATCCAACCCCATCAAAAAATGGGGCGATGAAATGAATAGAAACCGCCTGGTTCTCAAAGAAGAAATCCGAATGGCTAAAAGGCAACTGAGAAAATGCTCCACATCATTAATCATCAGGGAGATGCAGGTCAAAACCACAGTGAGATATCATTTCACACCACAGAGACTGGGCCTCGCTGTTTAAGTGATAATATCATTTGGGTGATGTGGCTCTGAATCTACGCCCTGTTGTGCATGAGACCACCCCAGTCTCTCTCCTGACCTTCAGTCCATCTCCCCTTGGTCAGCGACAGGCCCTAGGAGACGAGGAGCGAGGCCAGTCCCCGCAGAGGCTGCCCAGAGCTCTGTAGGGTCAGGGTCTGCAGTTAGTGGGCAGGAGTGGGCAGCGGGTGCCGGGAGGGGTCTCGACGGCTCCCTGCTTGTTTTTTTGGCAGGTTCTGGCTGGTGATCAAGGAAGATGGACACATGGTGACAGCCCGGCAGGAGCCGCGCCTGGTGTTGGTCTCCATCGAGGCTGAGGGTGACCGCCTGGTCCTCAGTGCCCCAGGCATGGACCCGCTGGTTCTGCCCAGCAAGCTGCCTTCGTCCAACTCCATTCAGAACTGCAGGTGCTCTGTTGGGAGGGAGGGGGTGTCCAGGGACCCAGAGAGAAGAGGCTTCCCTTCACTCCCTGTTTCCTTCCCATCCTCCTCCACCCCTCCCTTTCTCCCTGCCCTCGCCTCCCCATTCCCTTTCTTGGAGGGCATATATGGGTGTGCTCAGGAATCCCTCCTGGCAGGCTCAGGAGACTGTATAGGGTACTGGGGATTGAGCCCAGGTCAGTCAAATGCAAGGCAACCTCCTTACCTGCTGTACAGCCCACCCTCCCTTCTTTCCTTTTTGACCCCTTTCCTTCTCGTCCTTTCCTTTCTCCCCACTTCTTTCTGCTCTTGCCTGTCTGGGGGGGGTCCCCTATTTCTGGTGTGCTAGTGTAGCGCCTGCCTGTCTGGGGGTCCCCTATTTCCCCTGAGGTGTGCTGGTTAGCACTTGCCTGTCCTTCCTTCCTTCCTTCCTTCCTTCCTTCCTTCCTTCCTTCCTTCCTTCCTCCCTCCCTCCCTCCCTCCCTCCCTCCCTCCCTCCTTCCTTCCTTCCTTCCTTCCTTCCTTCCTTCCTTCGTTCCCTCCCTCCTTCTTCCTGGCTCTATATTCAGGGACCTGGGGACTCTATATTCAGGGACCTGTGTTCGTACATGTCCCTGGGAATCAAACCAGGACTGATCACATACAGGGCAAGTGCCATAATCCCTGTATTATCTCTCGAGCCCTCAAAGTCTTAGCTCTTTCCATGGATCAGAGGACATAGGGGCTCAGAGGATGTGGGGTGGCCTGTCTGTTTGCTTTCTTATGGACACGAACCAAGTTTCTCTGTAGGGTGTGTCAGCTTGCTGAACAGGCAGAATACTGTCGGTGGTGTTTAAACAAGAATTTTTTTTAACAGCAATTATAGATGAGGAGGACGTCTTAATTATTACAAAAACGTATATACTTCTTGTCTGGGAAGCTGAATTGAGGGTTCATAAATGACCTGAAATCCAGACAGAGCCATGGCAGTTCCATTTAATTCTTTATAATGAAATAATAGCTCCCTTTGAAGTGAAATAGTTTCTCCCGCTGGGCTTTCTTCCATGAAAGGCTCTGTTACCTAGGGATGATGGTACAGAGTTCAGTTCATAGACAAATGCACCTGTGACTGAGAGCACAGCCCAAGAATTCCAGTGATGAGTTTCAGGTGCTGTCCTGATCTCTGGGGGCCCTTTCCCTGAAGTCATCCATGAGAAGTGGGCCACCCCCAAGTGTCCAGGGCAGTCTTCCGGCCATATCACTGGTGTGCGGATTCTTTCCCAGTTAGGGGAGGCCAGGCAGGCTTGGAAGAGAAATGCTGACAGTTCGTTCCCTTAACTACCTCGAGGAATGAACACGGGGTTATTCGCAGAATTAAGACTTTTTTTCCTTTGTATGAGAAATGAATCTTTTTAGCCAAGAAACCTGTATCTATGGCAGAATCTGTCTGTGGCAGAATCTCTGTGTCATGATAGAGCTTCTATTTGGTTCCTGCATCCCCTGAACTCAAAGGCCCTCGTCCTTCCTTCCCCTTTGTCGGACACCCCCAATTTCCTCACTGGCTTTGAATCCACATTCTGGTGGATTCTCCAGTGTTTGTAATTAAATCTCGACTCTTCTCTTGCTCATCTGTCTGATGTTCATTTGCTTACGCCACCCACCTGGCCGGGGCCTGGAAGGGCCAGGAAATGTCTCCTCCTCTAGGTGCCAAAGTTTCTTGTCCTTTAGCTACTCCCCTTTGTCATTCAACTTATCTACGAGTTCCTAAGTAACAAATAGATGCTTAAAGTTTCATCTTTTTGGGCTTCTGGGCCTCACTGGATGTGCTCAGGGCTTCCTCCTGCCTCTGTGTTTAGTCACCCCTGGTGGGGCACGGGGGACCCTGTGCACCGCGGGGGATCCAACCTGGGTCATTGGCGTGCAAGACAAACGTTTTACTTGCGGTCCCATCTCTCTGGGCTCAGGGGTCACTGTGGGCTGGCCTAGGAGGCAAGGGGGGTGCTAGGCTCTATCCTGGGCAGCCACATGCAAGGCCAGTGCCCTCCGGTGGTCCTACCACTTCCGGTCCCTCTTTCAGGCTATTCGGCCTCGACATCCAGGGCCGGGACTGCGGCGATGAGGTGGCTCAGTGGTTCACCAGCTACCTGAAGACGGAAGCCTTCCGGCTGGTCCAGTTTGAAAAGAACATGAAAGGCAGGAAGGGGAGGGAGATTCTCCCTGATATCAAGGAGAAATACCAGGTGCGCGCTCCAAGCAGCCTCAGCCCACTGCCCCTGCCCTCCGCCTTCCTGCCGCAGCCCCCCAGGCCAAGAGGGGTTTCTTGGGTGCCCCCCGAGACAGAATGGGAATAGCCCAGGTGGCGGTGATGAGGGTGCAACGTTGGGAATGGAGACGGAGGTGGGTTCCAAGCCCAGTGGCACCTCAGGAGGCAGGGGGTGTAGACAATGGGAGACACCACTGACGCAGAAGCTGGGGGAACCCTGCCAGGAAGCAGAAGAGAGGCTAAACTCGGGTTTCCTAAGATGACAGAAGCCAGTTGTGAGCCCCAAGACCAGCCTGCCGGTGCTTCCGGGAGACCCGGGTTCCAAATGCTCGCAAATTCTCTCCACTCGCCGCCAGCTGCAGGCTCCTTGAGGGCCAGGATCTTGCATTTTTCTGTTTAGAACTGTGCCAGGTGCATACTAGGAGCTTACTGAGGGGGACCATTAATGCCTGCTGTGCAGAGAACCCATTCCTAGAACGGGCGGGTGCTGGGGTCAGGGACAGGCAGGTGAGGGCCAGCTAATGCTGCTCAGCGTAGGGCCTGGGAGGTTCCTTGGGGTCACCTTTTTCCCGAGCGTCCTCGGCCTGTCCCCCTTCTGTGGGTCCATCTGTGGCTTGGTTCAAGATGTGAGTGTGCCGGGTCAGGTCCCACGGTGACAGCTCTGCTCTCGGCCCAGGTGGCTTACCCAGACTGCAGCCCTCTCATGGTTCTCTCGGATGCCTCCCTGGCTGACCTCAACTCCCGACTGGAGAAGAAGGCCACAATGGATAATTTCCGGCCCAACATCGTGGTGACGGGGTGTGGCGCCTTTGAGGAGGTGAGCGACCTCCTATTGCGGGGCCCAGGGCTGTCGGCACAGCCAGACCCAGCGTTGCTCCTCTCCCATGTCCACTCACATGACAGAGGCTGCTCCTGTGGGTCTTGTCAGCGGCTATGGAGTCGTGTGGGAGTCATTCTACTATGCTGTGTATCACAGACTCCTCACTCTGTGCTCGGGGGTCGCTTCTAGCAGGGCTTGGGAGAAATGTATTCAGTGCCAGGGAGCAAGCCTGGGCCGGCTGCATGTAAAACAAACATCCTACCTCCTGGACTATCACTCTGCTTCAGTCGTTCAGATTTTGGTGGGGTTTGGGGGTGACACCTAGGATGTTTAGGGCCTTCTTCTGGCTCTGGATTCTAGGATCACTCCTAGTGGTGCTCAGGGAACCCTACGGAGTGCAAAGAATTGAACTAGAGTCCGCTGCATGCAAGGCGAGTTTCCTACCCACTGGACTCTCTCTGACCCCCAATTATGTCTCATGCTAAGTCAGCGTCACATTGGGGGTGCCTGGGAGAGGCTATTTAGCAGGAAAGTTGGGGGGAAGGAGGAACACGTGTATCTGGGCCTGTCGTTTGGATTCTTTGATGGATTGAATCATGAGACCAGGCCATGATCATTATGATTAGTTTTCACCCGCAAATACCTGCCAGAGGCCACAGTGTCCTGGCCACACTGGAGAGTCCAGAATGTCCATGGAGAGGCAGGGAGACCTGAGCAGAAACAACCAGGGCCCCAGGTGCTCCTGCCCCAGAGAAAGAGCCGGGAGGGCGCTGTGCAGCAGTGGCTCAGTGGGACCCAGGGCACGAGCTTTCACAGGCTCAGACCTATTCTAGGGCCAGTGTGACCAGGAAGGTGGGACTGCAGGGTTCGCAGACGGTCAAATGGACAAATGCTGCTTATCTCCCTGGGCAGATATTGGTCGCATGACTGCTCCTGAGCTTTGCTCCTGTCTCTGGGAGCAGGATGTTTTGGGGGGCTGTCCTGCTTGGATCGTTCCTCACCCCATGTCAGGGAAAGTGCTTCTCCGCCAGCCCGAGCTGCGGCACCCCTGGCTGTGTGCGCCAGATCCTCCTAGGTTATCCTTTGCAGGTTTTATAATTGATGTTTCAGATAGGTCATTGTTTATGTACAGAAATACATGAGTTTGTTTGTTTTGGGGTCACCCCGGGTGGTTGGTCAGGGCTTACTACTGCTCCTTGCCCAAGAATTACCCCTGGAGGGGCTCACCCTCTGGGGTGCTGTGGATGGAGTCGAAGTCAGCTCTGTGCGTGACACGCTACTTCCCAGTCCTGCTGTCTCTCCTGCCCCATCCTCTGCAGATTTCAGAAAGCCCATCTTTTGCGAATCATAGTCATCATCCAATGCTGCAGCCTCCTAAGCTGGGTTGGGCTGAGTTAGGAATTTATTGGGATGCTGAAGCATAGCACAGTGGGTAGGGCATTTGCCTTGCACATAGCCGAACTGGATTCGATCCTTGGCATCTGATAGGGTCCCCTGAGCACTGCCAAGAGTAAGTCCTGAGTGCAGACCCAGGAGTAACCCCTGAGCATCATCAGGTGTGGACCCAAAAAGTAAAAAAAAAAAAAAAAAAAGAATTTATTGGAGTGCTTTAATAAGAAGCCTTATCCCGGGGCTATTCTTTGCCTGGCTTCAGGGATTTTTGAAGTGCCAACAGCCCTGATGACAACCTAGAGACCAAGAATGATGGTGGAGGTGAGAGGCGAACCCAGGGGGGGTTGAGGACCAAACCAGCGTTTTGGGGTCAGGGTGAGGGTTCACTCCTGTGAACTCTGATTGCTGGAGTCTTTCAAGTTTACTCTTCATTGTGACTATTGCCCATTATCCCCCTTGTTTAATTGGAAGCTCAGGGGAAATGGTGCCCATTGGGAGACTCATTCCTGGTTAAACACAATGTGCCAATGAGCAGTGATGCTCTGGAAGGTGGTTAATGCCAGAGCATCTGGGAAGGACCGGACTTCCTCTGATCCTCTTTAACTTAAAACTCTCAGAGTCCCAGGGAACAGGGAGGAGAAGGTCAGGGAAGGAAAGAAGCTGAGGGGGGAAGATGATGAGGAAGAGAGGTGATGAAGAAGTCAAGGGCCTTGGGAATATCCGCAACGTGGGGGTGGTGTTGCTCTAGACCCAAACGCAGACTCAGTGGCACCAAAGACATGAGGTCCAAACTGCAACCAACAGACTGGATAGTGTGTTGTCAAGATGGGGAGTGGGAGAGAATTGAAAACACTGGTGAAGCGACACTGGTGGTGGGTTGGTGCTGGCACATTATATGTCTAAAATGTATATATAAACCAGCTGAAAGAATCCTCTTTCACAGAAGTTACATTTCATATTGTGTCCCAACTCTCTCTCTCTCTCTCTCTCTCTCTCTTTCTCTCTGTCTCATACACACACAAACATACACAAACACCCCCAGATATAACATAAACAGCATTTCCCCCCTTTTTTCTTTTTTAGTTTAGTTTTTGGGTCATACCCGGTGATGCTCAATTATGTGCTAAGAATTGTCCCCTGGAGGTGCTCAGGGAACCATGTGAGATGCCAAGGATTGAACCTGGGTTGTCCGTGTGCAAGGAAAATGCCCTCCCTGCTATGCCATCATTCTAGCACCTTAAACAACATTTTGATTTTGCAGAACTTTCCTTAGCCTATGTACATATAGATTATGCTGGTCGCTTTTGTTTGAACATAGTCTTGATTTTATAAAAACTGGCCAGCATCCACTCATGGATGTTGGAACCCAACAATGAGCTGTCCCAGGAAACTCGAGAGGATGGGGATTAACCTTTCCCCTCACTGTTGGGAATTGAACTCAGGGCCTCTTGCCCACGAATCTGTGGCTGCTGCTGAGCCACACCACCCGCCTCCGAGTATTGGGTGTGTTCAAGTTTTGGTGGTTATCACATTAAATTATATTTTTGTGCTGAGCCTGAGTGGAAAGTGTCTGATAACCACTGGAGTCATGTTTTCACGCCATTTTTTCAGATGAGGACATAGCTTCAGAGAGGTTGAGTAGCTTGCCCACCGTTACCATGCCAATGTGTGACCAGGGGGGCTCTGTGCTCTGTTGGGAGTCAGGGAGACTAAGCCACAGCCCCTCCTCTGCTCCTCTGGGCATGAGTCACCGAAGAGCGCTGGGCTGGCACTCACTGAGGGGCTCAGGGGCTGGGCATCTGCCCGCAGGGAGCAGGGCTGCCAAGCCATCAGAACCAGAAGAACCGACACCAGCTTCGGCATGATGGAGATTGGCTTCAATTTCATATAATTTGATTTGACACTCAGCCCCTGGAAGCACTTTCCAGGGGGGTGTGGGCAGCTCGAGGGTATACATGTATGGGGCCCTTTCCTGGCCTTCTTTTCCCCCAGAAGCTCCTGATGCGGTTGGGGTTCCCTGGGGACTTAGGTGAGGTGGGGAGGACAGAGGTGGCAGCCTTGAGATCTGTCCCTTTCTCTTTCCCACTCTGCCACCCAGAAAGGACTGGGGGACCGGGGACTGTGAGAGTCTGCAGGGACCTCGCTCCCTGCAGGAAAGGAGGATCCAAGACTTTTATGTCCTCACCTCACACTCACGGGAAAGAATTTCAGAAGATAAGCCTTGAAGGAAAGGCAGGTTGTATTTGAGACTGAAGATGGGGTGGGCAGGAGAAAGGGCGGGAGAGACAGACAGAGAGAGAGAGAGAGAGAGAGAGAGAGAGAGAGAGAGAGAGACAGAGAGAGAGAGAGAGAAGAACATAGGCTTCCCCAGAGTGGAGAGAGCCCCAGCACACATCCCAGCGTTGAAGTATGAAGGTATGAAAGTGCCTCTCTCCAGAGGGGAGATGCAGGCCATACATGCCACTGGCTAGAGGAGCATATGCACGAGCCTCCTTTGTTCCAAGTTGACTTTTATAGGGCTCCTCCCAACCTGCCCCAGGGCGGTTGCCAAGGGCAAGAGCTAGGGGCAGTTGGTGGCCTTCTTTGAAGTTCCTTCCTGGCCCTCGTTCCTGCTGCAGTTTCTGTTGGAGGAGGGTCCAGCCTTCTCCGTGCTGGTGCCAGGGAAAGGTCTATCAGGCCTTAGTTCCTGTGCCCAGGGGTGGGTCTTGGCAGCATTAGGGCTAGTTGGTTTTATTGCTCCCCAGAACTCTTTGCCATGGGGCCTCCCCTACCTGCCTACTTCCCTGACCTACTTCCCAGGTTTTGGTAGGAGTGCCAAGCAAGGACCTTGGCCAGGTTTGATATAGAAAAAAAAAAGATGTAAACAGTAGATGCCAGTGGGGCCTGGTTGGATGGGGGGAGGCAGAGTCGGAGCTTCTCCAGATGTGCCCAGAGGTTGTGCATTCACTCTAGGTCATCACCCGCCATGCCTCATGCTTACTTCCTGCCGCTTCTGTCCAGAAACTCCGGAGGTTCAGTATTAGGGGAGAAGGGGAGAAGGATGGAAAGTTAACCCTAGGTGGGTTTGGGAGGAGCAGGCTCTGTGAGGTCCCCCACTAGCTCACACCCTTTCCCTCACCCTGCGACGGATCACAGTGGACACAACATGGCCAAGAAGAATTTATTTTGCTTTGTTTGGGGGTCACACCTGGTGATGCTCAGGGGTTTCTCCTGCTGCTGCACTCAGGGAGCACTTCTGGTGGAGCTGGGGGGGCTTATGGGATGCCAGGGTTCAAACCCACGTCATCTGTATGCGAGGCAAGCATCCTACCCTCTACTATCGCTTAGGAAGATGAGGATTTAGAGATTTGCCCAGTTTTGCAGTGAGGGCCGGGGTGGTAGAAGGTGGGGAGGTGGGTCTCACTGCCGCAGCACTCACTGTTTAAGCATTTTCTTGGTCTTTTGGCTTCTTTCCATATTTCCCTCCTACAAATAATAATGAGCAACAGCTTTGTCCAAACAGTCTTTGCCTGTTCTTGTAAGTTTATTCTTGCGAAGTGCTGAATCAGCGTTCTGGAGACGCTGTATGTATTTCCTAATTGCTTTTGCAGAAACCTTGCACAGTTCATGCTCCCAGAACAGAGCAGAGGAGCTGTTTCCCTTCCTCCTGCCAGCGCCAAGCCTGTGATCTTCAGAGTCCCACGAAGGCCGAGCCATGGCATCGGCAGTAAATCTCAGCCTCATGCAGCTTCTGTTAGTTCCTGCATGCAGGAGGCTCGGCCAAGAGAGAAATGTTTACTTCAGTGAAGGGAACTTACTTCCTGCAGGGAAGAGCTCTGGCCAGGATGCTGGAGCATTCATGCTGCTGACGAGGGTTCAGTTTTGAGGGTTTGTGGCGCTTCTGCTGGGCTGGGGGTGAGGACTGGAGGAGTGAGCTCAGCACAGTTCCCGCTGCACCCTCCAGGGTCATGGTGACCGTCCTGGGGCCCAGGGAAGGAGCAGTGAGGGGTGTCGGTGCATGCTGCATGTGCAGGGCTGGGGGCATTTAAGGGGCGCAGTGTTGAAATGTAGGAATTTGGTACACGTAGAGTGTGTGTGTGCATCTGTGTCTGTGTGAGTGTGTGTCTGTGTGAGTATGTGTCTGTGTGTATGTCTGTGTGAGTGTGTGTCTGTGTGTGTGTGGTGTGCGTGTCTGTGTGTGTCTATTTGAGTGTGATGTGTGTGTGAGTGTGTGTATCCAGTCATTGCTGTCAGCAGGGCGTGGAGCCTGTAGGCAGGTCCCTTCCCCCAGTGCCTCCTGCCGGGCCCCCAGTCATGGACAAAGGATCACCCCTTGTATTTCAGAGCCTGCTAACCAGAGGCTGTAGCTTTCCTGTGCTTCTCTGCTCTGCCAGCAGCTCGTTGCTAGCACGCTGTCTGCGGGGATGTCAGGGTGGGCGTCCGTGTGCAGCTGGGTTCACTGCATGTGGTAGCCAGCCTTGGGCAGCCCTGCTCTCCAGGGCAGGTCCCAGGCTCACTCTCCCGCTCCCCTACTGAGCATGGGGGCACTGCTGGCTTCAGAATCCAGTGAAGGGTCATCCTTGAGGTCGCCTCCTCTCCCGTAGGACACCTGGGAGGACCTGGTCATCGGCAGCGTGGAGATGAGGAAGGTCCTGGCATGTCCCAGGTAGGCTGGTGGGAGCTGCCCCTGCAGGGGCCACGCGCAAGGTCTGGTATTGGCCTCACGCATGTCTGTGGCAGGTGCATCATGACCACTGTGGACCCGGACACCGGCGTGATTGACAGGAAGGAGCCTCTGGAGACCCTGAAGAGGTGGGTCGGGGCCCATCGCGATCACGAGCGGGAGCCCTGCCGGAGCCCTGGCACCTGGGTTCTGGCTACCACCTGTCAGCCATGTGCCGGTCAGCCCATGTGATCATCAGCCTGTGTGTCTGTCAGCCCACGAGCGCATCAGCGTAACAGCTTATGCACTCATGAGTCTGTCAGCCCATGTCTGTCAGTCCATGTGCCCATCAGCCCATGTGTCTGTCAGCCAATGTATCCATCAGCCTGTGTGCCTGTCAGCCTGTGTATCTATCAGCCTGTGTGCCCATCTGCCCATCAGCTTCTGGGCAGGGCCTCTGTGCTTCCTCTTCTCCTCTGTGGATCTATCTTGCAGAGTTCTTGATCCATCTCTAATTGGAAATAGTTTTATGTCTCTGATCAGTGTATTTTTCATCCTCTCTTCATGTGTGTCCCCAAATGAAGACCTCAAATACTTGAATTTAAAAAAAATTGCAATTCAAAGGACTGGGGCTATTTTTGCTTTTGTGTTTGGGGACCACCCCGGGTGACGCTCAGGGCTCCTGCTCTGTGCTTGGGGATCATTCCTGGCAGGGCTCAGGGTTTTGTGCTGGGGTGCTGGGGATCAAAGTGGGCATGGAACTGAGGCTGGCTGCTTGCAGGGCAAATGCCTTCTGCCCTGCCCGAAGTTTCCGACCCCCAAGTGCAGATTATTTTAAAAATGTTTTTATAGGGACCATCCAGAGTGCCCTGTGGACCGAGCCTACTCCTGGGGGTGGTGGGCTGGTGGGGTGGACCTGGCCACAGGACCACACTTCTCCACGCTGAAGCACTATTTGGTGCCAGGGATTGTACTTGGGGCTTCACAGGTGCCGGGCTTGTGCTGACCATGTGAGCTCACTCCTGGGCCTGGCTTGTGGGTCATTTTTAGTGTTTAATTATTGTCTTTGTCTTTCATCCTTCTCAAACATTTATCCTTTTCCTTCGAGAGAAATGGTCACTGCCCCCTTCCATGATCAGGGAGGTATTGCCTGCCTGGTGCCTCTTCACCCCAGTATCCATGGCCCAGAAACCCTGTGTAGGCATGTTGTTAACCCTTTCGATGTTGTTGCACAGGAGAGTGGGTGCCCCCTGAAAGTTGGGTGCTTAGCCACATGGTTCCCAGGAGACCAGAGAACTTTGTTTCTGTGGGTTGTGAAGTTGCAGTGCCCATAGTAGCCAAGCATTTGCTTATTTGAGTTATTTTTTGTGTTTGTGTGTGTGTGGGGGGGGAGACACCGGACAGTGCTCAGGGCTTACTCACGACTCTGTTCTCAGGGATCACTCCTGGCAGTCTTTGGAGAGCTTATATGATGCCAGAAATTGAACCAGGGTTGGCCACCTACAAGGCAAATGCCTTACCCACTGTACTGTCACTCCGGCCTTGCGAACTCTTTAAGTGACACATACAGACTTTTCCTTCTTGGCCTCTAGTGGGAGCCATAGAAAAGTGGTTTAGATTCTCACAGACAAGAGAGCGACTACAAGGGTTAAGGCCTTCCCTCACCAGGCAGCCCACCCTGGTTCCACCCTCTGCGTCACATGTGGGCCATCAGTTGGGGGCGCTCTTGAGCTCCAAGCAATGCAATCCACACCCTCTTCTCCAGCTACTTTGTGAAAAAAGTGATGTTATTTGCAGCTTAACACTGCTCACAGCCTTCCCTATTGATTTTAGAGAAGATGTGTGCTTTGGGTACAAAAATGCTGAAATCTGGGGTTAGCTCTCTCAGACCTCTTCCCTTTTGGTGCCTGCTGATGGATTTTTGTTTGTTTTTTGGGGTCATACCTAGCAGTGTTTAGGACTTAGTCCTGGCTCTACCATCAGGGGGATCACTCCCAGTGGGACTGGGGGACCATATGGGATGCCCAGGGTCAAACCTGGGTAGGCCGCATGCAAGGCAAGTACCCTCCTCTGCCCTAACGCTCCAGCCCTGCTGATGGATTTTTTGCTTTCAGCTACCGGCTGTGTGATCCCTCTGAGAAGTCCATCTACAAGTCTTCCCCCCTTTTTGGAATCTACTATTCAGTGGAAAAGATCGGCAGCCTGAAAGTGGGAGACCCTGTGTACCGGATGGTGTAGTGGCCACCTACGGGGATGATGGGTAAGAGGCCATGAAGTCTGTTGCCATTGACAAGGTTCGGTTTTGCTGCTGCTCTGGGGCCAATCGAATGATGCATGTGGGGATGGTGGGGAGAAAGTGCTTCCGTGGCAACAATGTCAGCAGGTTGGACGACGGTGGACTCAGGTCCCCCAAGCATCGGTCTTATCTGCAGTCACGAGAAGGAGAGGCCCAGGGCAGCAGCTTGCCTGGCACACAGCCAACCTGGGTTCTATCCCCGTCCTGCACAGGGTTCTCTAAGCTCCGTCCGCCAGAGCCTCAAGTGAGCCCTGATCGGGCTGGTTGTGCCTCCCCCCAAAGGAGGGGGTTCTAAAGAAAGAGAACAGCGAAGCCCACTTTTAGGGTGGGTGGGCTTCAGGCCAGATGGAGAGTGAGTTCACCCAGAGACTGACTCTCTGAGCAGACTTCTGATATCACTGCAAATTAAGTCTCGCACTCCATTTTCTTTCCTCTTATCCTTGAGTGACAGATGAAGTGGACGTTCTTGCCCTTCTGCACCATGGCTGAGCAGGATTTCTGGTTGCTGAGTTTGAAGACTTTCCTTGGCTGACTTTTTGTATTTTGTTTGCATTTTGCTGCTGAGAATGCAAGATGGGGAGAATGAACAATTTGTGTCTTGACCATTTTTTGGTTTTGTTTTTGGAGGTTGCTCAGGTGTTACTCTTGACTCTGTTCTCATAAATTGCTCCTACAGGACTTGGGGGACCATATGGGATGCCCAGGATGGAACCTGGGTTTGGCTGCATGCAAGACCAGTGCCCTACCTGACATACTTATGGCTCCCTGCCTCTTGACCTTGGGGGCCGGGTTACTCTGTTTCTTTGCTGTCAGTGATCTGAATCTTCAGGAAGCCGTTCCCAGCACAGTCCCTGCCCCCACTCCCCACCAACCCCCGCTGACCTGTTGCTTGGGAAGGGTTGAACCAGGTTGAGGTTCCCACTGTGTACGAATTCCACTCAAGAATATGGAAACCAAGAAAAGTCATTCTCAGTCATTTTCTGTTTATTATTTATATGTTTAGGAAGGGGCCTAAAATATGAATAGTGTTTTTTATTATGTAGTTGGGGGCCTCTCCTGGTGGTGGTCCTGCCTCTGTTCAGGGGTCACCCCCTATTCTGCTCAGGGATCCATATGTAGTGCCAAGGATCAAATCAGGGTCAGCTACGCACAGGGCCAGCACTGTCCCTATCCCTTTTGTACTGTCTTTCTGGCTTTCAGAGGGTCTTTCCCAGTCGGGCCCACACTTGCCCATTCAAAGGTGTCTCTGCAGCTGCTGCCAAGCTGGAGATTTAGTCCTCACAGGCAGCCTCTTCGGCAAAGGCCATTTGGCAAAGGACATAGCTTTTATTTCTTGCAATTTAGCCTCAATACTTTTTTTTCTAAATATTTATTAGTGAGACACCATGAGGTACAGTTGTAGACTTACATTCTTTGTGCTTGGGTTTCAATTATACAATGATCAAATACCCACCCCTCCACCAGTGCCCATTTCCCACCACCACGGATCCCAGTATCCCTCCCACCCCCTATACCCCCCCATCCCACCCTGCCTCTGTGGCAGGGCATTCCCCCCTGTTCTCTCTCTTCTATTTAGCCTCAATACTTGCCTGGTTTGTTTATGTGGTTTGTGACTGGGAGGGAAAATGGTCCAATAATTGAGATTTTTTGTTTGCTTTGTTTTAGTTTGGGGGCCACACCTGGCCATTTGCAGGGATTACTCCTGCACCGAGGGGGTCACTCTTGGAGGGCTCTGGGGATCCTGTGGGTTGCTGGGGACTGAACCTCAGCTGGCTGCATGGAAGGCCAGCACTCACCACTGTACTACTTCTCCAGCCCCTAACAGGAGATACTTATCATTGCTCTAGGCTCAGTGTCCAGAGGCACATCAGGGACAGCTTGTGCACAGCAGCTCGTCTTGTCAGCCGTGGACCGGTTTTGCCTCAGACATGAAGATTCTGTTTTTGACTTTGTTGGAATCATGCATGCTTCAAATGAATGCAAGAAAAGGCTTAGAGGTGATTTGGGAATAAGGAGATGAACAAATGGTAGGTAATGAAGACTTTCCAAATGACTAGTGTTGCCTAGAAAATGATCTTATATGTTCCTGTAGCTCTTCCATTTCTTACCAAGCCCTGCCAATGACATTGAGGAGTAAAGTATGTATCAAGAATCAACTGAAAGTTACAAAGAAAAGCTCTTCGTGTCCTTATTGTATCACTCACCATGCAGTATTGTGGCAGACTGAGAAGCAGAAGGTTTTCTGATGTGTCTTAGTGTGTCACAAAGGGGGGACTTTCCACTTAAGCTTCTGACACCCACCCCCCAACATTATGGGTCAGGTTGTGATTGAGTAAGAAATTGGAAATTATTGGCTATACCTTGCGTTGTATATTCGATTACTTCTTGGTTAAGCCACATCCAAGTGAGTTGGGGGCACCCCTGAGTCGGTGCAGGGTACAGGAGACGGGCTGAGAATGGGATTTTCAGAGCAGAAGAGGCAGGAGGAGGAGTGAATGAATATCTTCTAGCTGCCTGTAATTGTTTGTAACGAAGAGACATGAACCCTTTGGTCTACCCCGCCCCAGTGCCTACCATGGGAATGAATGACACCCCCAGGCCCCAGTTGTTGTTTTGATATTAATAAAAGTGATTCTTGATTGTGCTTCTCGGGATTCATGAGTTTGGTGTTTGAACTTCAGTCACTGTCCTTCGCATTTCCTTAGACTTTCTTTCACAGGTACACTCAGGCAATAAGTGAACTTCCTGCCCTCAGCGTGGGCACTGAGATACCCGCAATTCCCGGAGGCCACTGAGGGGCAGCTGTTCCTTGGATGGATTCGAGGCTGAAATGAACGTCATGCCCAGCACCTGAGAGCATGACCCCTGAGGAAATTCCAGGAACAATGACGACACTGAAAAGAGATTTTTTTGTTTGCTTTGTTTTAGTTTGGGGGCCACACCTGGCCATTTGCAGGGATTACTCCTGCACCGAGGCGTCACTCTTGGAGGGCTCTGGGGATCCTGTGGGTTGCTGGGCACTGAAGTTTCCAGCCAATATAAAAAGGCTCCTGGAGACCAGAAGGTGTTACTGAATCTAGCCAGGATGTGGCTTGGTGTCAGAGCGTTGCCCACTTGTGTGAGGTCCTGGGTTCGAGGGATAAGGAAGAAGGAGGAGAGAAAGGAAGAGAGGGAAGAGGAAGAAGAAGGGGGAGTCAGAGGAAGTGAAGGAGGAGGAAGAGAGGGAGGGAGGAGAGGGAGGACAGCAGAGGGAGGAGGTGGAGACGTCTGAAGAGGGGAGGAGAGAAGGTGGAGGAGGAGAAAGAAAAAAGGCAAGAAAATATAACACCTAGGGGGCTGGAGCGATAGTACAGTGGGTAGGGCGTTTACCTTGCACGTGGCCGATCTGGATTTGATTCCCAGCATCCCAGTTGGTCGCCCTCCAGGAGTAATTCCTGAGTGCAAAGCCAGGAGTAACCCCTGAACCTCGCCAGTGTGACCCGAAACGCAGAAACAAACAAAAACATAACATCTAGGTCTGGTCTGGGGCTGCTCACGGAACTCTGCGGCCCGTTCACACTGGGCGGAGTGCCGCGGACATCCCGGGAGAACGGCCACCGGGAGCCGGAGCTGGGGACAGCGGGGGTGGGGGGCGTTCGCCCTGCACACGGCCAGCCCAGGCTCAATCCTGGCGTCCCACAGGCCCTGGAGCCCGCCGGCACTGATTCCCGAGAGCGCAGCGCCAGCAGTACCCCCTGCACTGCGGATGTGCCCTCAAACCCACACCAACGGCTGCCGCCACAGGGTGTCCCCGCCGCTGCGGCCCGCGGGGCTCCCCGCCGCTCTGCAGCCCCGGGCGCAGCCGTGCGCCCCCAGCCCGCGCCTTAGCTGGGAGGGCGGCCCCCGCCGTCGTCCCCACCGCCCGCTGGAGTTGGCCCGGCCACGATTTCCGAGCTCCCCGGCCGGCCTGGCCCGCGCCCTGCTCCCCGTTCGCTCCCGGGGACGCCGAGCCCCGGCGGCGCGCCCGGCGGGAGGGATGGCCGGGAGCGAAGATCTGGTGCGGGTGGGGCCGCCGCCTCCCTCTGCCCGCCCCCTGGCCGGAGCCCAGGGCCGCGCTGACCCCGGCGGCGCCTCCCCCGCGGCCGCGGCCCGTGCGCGGCCCCGCAATACGGCCGCGCGCCTCCGCTGCCCATGGGCGCCACCGGCTCCACCGCGCTCGCCCGCCTGGGCCTCCCCGAGCCCGGCCGCGCCCGCTGGCTGGGGGTGGCCGCGCTGGGGGTGGCCGCGGTGACCCTGGGGGCCGTGGCCTGGCGCCGCGCGCGCTCCCGGCGGCGCCGGCGGCTGCAGCAGGTGGGCACCGTGGCGCAGCTCAGCATCTACCCGCTCAAGTCGTGCAAGGGGGTGCGGGTGAGCGAGGCCGAGTGCACGCCCCTGGGGCTGCGCAGCGGCCACCTGCGGGACAGGTAGGACGGCACCGCGCGCGGAGGGGTGCTTGCGGGACTGAGGGCTTTGGCCTTCCCGGGGCAGTCCCCGGGGGCCGGGGACACTGCGCTCCGCCGAGTGGGCTGCACCGCCCCCTCCCAGGGTCCGTCCGGATCGTGCACGCCCTGGCAAGGACGTCCTAGGAGTTTGCTGGCGCGCAAGTCAACTTTCCCAATTCCTGTCCCGGCGGCGCTTAGGCTCCGGCCCCGTGCCGCCTTCTCTGAAGCAACCCTCTCTACAGACCGCGGGGTGACGCCCCAGGAGAGCCGGGGGCCCGGGAGCACGCAGGCGCGGTGCCCGATCGCACCGAGGTCACAGCCCAAGTGACCTGCGGCGTGCAAGTGCCCACGCGGTGCCTGGTGCGCTTCTCCTCCGCACACCTCTGCACGAAGACGCCGCAGGGCGGCGGGGCCAGACGCGGCTTTCCCGGCAGCTTTGTAAACGGTGATTTTCTGAATGTGTTCTCGGTTCAGCCCGTCTGCCCGGATTCTTGAGCTTCGCCAAGTTGCAATACCCAGCTTGCCTTTGGCCTCCTCTGGTCCCGGCGTCCGGACCTGGCCGCATTGAGAGACCTGAAACACCTTCCTCTCCCTACTGCCTCTCAGCCACTTCTAGTCTAGTACCTACACCCCAGCCCCCCCCCCCCCCCCCCAACACACACACACTCTGTCCCGCAGACAGAGAGCAGTTTGTGTTGGGAAGAACACCTGCTATACCCCTCGGCTGCAGGAAGGATGCCAAGGATCCCAATTTATGACATGGGGAGCCCAGGGATAGTACCTTGCACGTAGCTGACCTGATTCAGACCCCCAGCTCCCCATATGGTCTCCAGAAACCGCTGCAAGTGATTCCTGAGTGCAGAGCCAGGAGGAACCCCTGAGCTCTGCAGCTGTAGCCCACTCCCCATCTCCAAAAATAAAAAAACAAAACAAAACCCAATCCAGAACCAAGTTATGACATGGTTTGCAGGATGGAGGCTGCGCGAGGAGCAAAGTCACCATGTGTGTTTCAGTGCCCGGCTGAGTTCCTGTTGCTACAGGACGCACAGGCCTAGCGGTCAAGACTGTGAGCAGAAGGCAGCGTTCTGTGCAGGGTTCAGACGGGAAGGGAGCAGGGCAGGGAAGCCCTGCATTATGCGGGTAGGTAGGAGGCCTGGGGGATGCGAGGCATTTCAGTGAGCTTAAAGTATGCAGGGAGCTCAGGCAGAATGGGGGGGGGGGGCGGGGAGGGGGGAGGAACACTGAGATGATTATCTTCTGGTTGACATTCCATCTCCCCATATTCGTCATCCTTTTCATTCTTTTTTAGTTTTTTGCCACTTCCAGCTGTGTTCAGGCTCTGTGCTCAGGGATCATTCATGGAGGGGATGCGAGAACCATAGGGGATGCTGGGGGTCAAACCCAGGTCGTGGCCAGCATCCTACCTGCTGTACTATCACTTTGGCTCCCCAGTAATCCTTCCTTTGGAGGCGGGGTTGTGCAGCGCCTCCAGCAGTGGTCAGAGCTTACTCTTGGCTCTGTGCTCAGGGATCACCCCTGGCAGGCGCGGGGAACCATAAAAGATGCCTGGGTTCAAACCTGGGTTGGCTCCATGCAAGACAAGTGTTCTACCCTCTGTACTACCATTCGGGACTTTCTTTCTTTCTTTCTTTCTTTCTTTCTTTCTTTCCTTTCATTCTATTTTTATTTTTTGGTGGGGAGGCACACCTATTTTTGCTCAAGGAATATTCCTGGCTCTGTGTGAGGAGTGATCCCTGGTGATGCTTTTGGGACACTCTGTGGTTCTGGGAATTAAATGGGGGGCTGGTCATAAACTATGCCTTAACTCCTCACCGTCTCTCATCTCGTGGATTCTTTTCTTTGGGGCCAATATTTCTCCAAAGGAACTCTGCCTAACCCCTTGTGCCTGTGTCAATATTGTAATAGGTAGTAATGGGAGCATTTGTACCAGCCACCATGATAAGTTATTTTGTCTTTCTGTAACACAAAAAGTGTGTGTCAAAGATGTAAAAGCTTCTAAATAACAGGAGGAAGTGAACCTTCCCTTCTAGGTCGTTGGCTTGAAAAGAAGAACCAAGAGCACCCACACACGGCTGGTCGGCTGGTCGGCAAGAGCAAAGACAGGCTTTGTTTGTCTTCTGTTGTTTTCCGGGAGGCATCTCTAGATCAGGATTCCTGAGCCAGTGAAAACATTGTCCACCTGGATAAGGGATCAGCAAACTGTAAAATTCACAGCCCCGAGGACAGAGACAGAATTTTTCCTGAAGGTGGAGGTGGCACGTCACCGGGCTCAGCCAGCAATGCACTTTGTTGTTTGTATTAGCAGCCCCTTTGCCTGCTGGCTCCGAAGCACCCTCTGGGCTTTAAATAGGTTCTTGTTGGGCCAGAGAGATAGTTCTGGGGTGAAGGCACTTGGCTTGCATCCCACCAACCACAGTTCGACTCCCAGTGCCACTGATGGAGCTCGAGCTTTGCATGAGCCACTCCTGAACACAAAACTAGGTGTAGTTCCCAGCACCAACTAGTGCGACCCAACCTCCCTGGCCAAAACAAACAAAAAGACCATTGTCATCTCCTGGGGCCTGATCAGTGAGAAGGAACCGACTTTCTGGGTGATTGGGATGGAGAGAGGGCCAAGAATTTGATTTCTGGACCTTCTGGACCTGCGTGTTCTGCAGATGTCACTTAACAGATGCTAGGGTGGGGAGCGTGGAGTGATAGTACAATAGGTAGGGCACTTCCTTGCATGTGGCCAACTCAAGTTCCATTCCTGGGACCCCATATGGTCCCCTGAGCACTGCCAGGAATAATTTCTGAGGGCAGAGCCAGGAGTAACCCCTGAGCATCACCAGATGTGGGCCCCAAACAAAACAACCAAACCCCCAAAACAGTAAGATGCTAAAGTGATAATTAAAACCTTTGACGTTACCAGGCCAAGTTTGAACTTACCTGCTGCACTCTGACCTGATTGTTCAGGACAGACAGTTCCCAATGCCCCCCTCCCGCCCCCCACTTCCCCAGCCACTGGTCACACCGCCTCAGTCCCCCAGGCCGGGTTGCGGGTCTCCACACATGTCGCACATATTGCGTCTTGAAAATGACAGGTTTTGGCTGGTCATCAACGAGAAGGGGAACATGGTGACAGCAAGACAGGAGCCCCGGTTGGTGCTCATTTCCCTGACCTGTGACGGGGACACACTGACCCTCAGCGCCGCCTACACTGCGGACCTGCGCCTGCCCGCCAAGACGCCCAGCACCAATGCCCTGCGTGCCTGCAGGTAAGAGCAAGTTGGGGGGCTCCTCAGTCTTCCAGGGATGCAGGCCTGCAGGGGGCTGAGCCTGGAGGGGCTTCTCTTAGGGATTCTCCTGGAGCTCAGCCAGAAGATTCAGACAGTGCAAGACCAGCACTGCCTGGTTCTAGCTGCGGGGAGAACATAGAGAAGGATGGCAAGTAGTTCTGAGGGAGAAGAAAAAAATACGCATGGCTTTACTTATCTGTGCTACAGAGAGCAAACAGAGGAGGGAATAGACGGAATAAATGATGGCAAGCCCTTGGCCTGGGGTTATGGAAATGAGACCGCCAAGGCAGGGTGGGGAAGGATGAAGAGGGGCAAAGCAGCATTACGTTGGTGACTAAATAGTATTACCTTGGTGGAGGGTCCTGGGTACGTAGGTATGGAGGGGTGAGAGAATGTCCTACATCTAAACCATAATGATCAGCACTGTTGTAAACCTGTGCCATGTAATTATTAGAGTTGTAAACCTCAACTCTAATAATTACACTTCTTTAAAAAGGAGTTTGCTAGGGGTTGGAAGAGCTTGAAACTTAGGTGGAGGGGAGCTGGTTCAGGTGGCCGATATGGAGATGGAACACCATTGGACTAAAACTCAATAATAGGGTTTATATAATAAGAGACAATCTTGTTAATCTGTTTTTTTTTTCTTTTTGAGTCACACCCAGTGGTGCTCAGGGGTTACTCCTGGTTTTTCACTCAGGAATTACTCCTGGCGGTGCTCAGGGGACCATATGGGATGCTGGGAATCAAACCAAGGTCGGCTGCATGCAAGGCAAACGCCTTACTGCTATGCTATGGCTCCAGCCCCTGTTAATCATATTTTATGATTAATTGGTGCCTCATTTTTTCCTCCACTTTATTTAGACACCATGGTTTACAAAGTTGTCCATGGTAATTTATTATGGGCATTCAGTATTCCAGCCCCAAGCCCACCACCACTGTCACCTCCATCATTGTCTCCATTTTTCCAGCCACCCCTCAAGCCTGTCCCCATAGCAGGCCAACAAATAATTTTTTTCCATAATTTTATTTTTTTTCTTCTTATATTTATCTATTGAATAACTGTGGGAAAAGTTACAAAGCTTTCAGGTTTAAGTCTCAGTCATACAATGATCAAACCCCTTTCCCTTCACCAGTACTCATTTTTCACCACCAAGAACCCCAATATACCCCCCTCCCACCCCTCCCAATGCCTGTGAGGCAGATGATTTCTACTTAACTCTTCTCTACATTGATTACATTCATTATTTCGACAAACAATGTACCATTATTGTTCAGAATTTCCCCCTCCCCCCAACAATCAGAATTGCTGAAAAGGCATTGTGAAATACTTTGTTTTCTATAGTTGGTTATGAGAATCATATAATGATTTTAGATTTCTGCAAAGAGCCAGATAATTACGAGACTGGTTTCTGTGCGTCTGGTTTTATGGCTGTGCCAGAGAGCTGCTCGTGGGAAGCAACTCATGACCTTGGTAGGGTGTGAAGGACTAGCCGGTACCGCCCCCCTTCCCATGAGACTGCAGTTTCCCCATCACTGCCGGCTCATACCTGGCTTTCCAATAAGTTCTGAGGTGGCGGCCACCCATGGTCCATTCACTTTTCTGCTGCAAGCTCCCGGGCTCTGGACTAAGTCCTTTTGCCTCTGGAGCCATGGATGTGCCGGAGAGCCACTTGTGGGGGGCAACTCGTGATCTAGGTAGGGTGTGAAGAACGCCGGTACCACCCCCCTTCCCATGAGACTGCAGTTGCCCTGTCACCGCCGCTTCATACCTGGCTTTCCAATAAGCTCTGAGGCAGTGGCCACCTTGTATGAGGTCTGGATGCATATCTGCCAAAAGCCGCTGGATTTTGAGATTTGTTTCTGAGTGTCTGGGATCATGGCCGTTAAGCAGCTTGATCAGGAGCCAGAGAGGCCATTTGTAGGCGGCGACTCGGGGTCTCGTTGGGATGGGGAGGAAATGGCCAGTTCCACCCTCATCTGGTGAGGCCCCACATGTTTCATCATTGCAGGCCCAAACCTGACTGTCCAGTGGCCTCTGGAGGATGGTGGTCACCAGGCCACCAGGGAGAACAGGCCAAGGCATGAAACCTATTCCCACCTGGAGTGGCCCAGTGCCAGTAACCTACTGCAGGAACAGGACGCATTTCTGTCAAAAGTGTTTGGGTTCTGAGATTCCTCTCTGAGTCTCTGGGATCATAGCCATTAAGCAGTTCGATCAGGAACCAGAGAGGCCGTGCCTCCAATTATATAGCTGGGCCGAAGGTGGTTTGTGTGTGTGTCTCCCACATACCTAACTTTTGGCCATTTACTTTCTTGTAAACTTTGCCCCAAATTTTTGGGGTCTGGCCAAAGGCACAGCGGTAATTTAGGGGTATCTGAAAGTCTGACAGTGCCATCAGGCTGCTGATGAATGAACTCACCTCACAGATACAGATTGACCTGCTGGTGGCACCATACCCCCAAGGCGAACAAATAATTTATTTCATTTGCGTGCTATCACTAAATGGCTAATTAAAAGGTCAAAAATTATTTCAGTGAAAGAATATTTTTGAAAATTGTTGTATCTCGCCATGGAGACACTAAGTTTTTGAGGGCTTACAATGCTGTTGTTGCAAGTTAAACCTGCTGTGTTAATATTTTTGTTAGTTGAGTTTAGCTGGCTTCTGTTTACATTCCCATATATTCTGGTGTGCTCCTACTAGGATGTCAGTGTTGTAGAGTTTGGGATGTCAAAAATCCAGAATATTTAACTGGGCAGTGAGTTTATTATGGTGGCAGTGGTGGGAAGTGGTTCTGGAAGAAGGTGCAGAGTTTTCAGCCAAACCAACCCTGAAGTTGTCAGCAGCTTGGCCTCTGTGGAGCTCGGTCATGAGGTGGGTGGTGAGTCTGGCCATAGCATGATGGCAGCTGCTGGGGTGTGAGTGCAGGTGTTTGAACTCTGTAAGGGTGGGAACTTGGTCTGCCTTCTCCAAAGATCATCTGGTGGTCTCAGCTGGGTCAGGGTATCTGAGAAATTTCTGCAGCTAGTTGACTTCTTTTGAGATTTAATTATGAATCTCTGGAACAGGGCTGGTAGATGAGCTAACATGGTTGCAGTGGTTGTGGGACATGCGTCTGGCTCAAATTTTCTTTTTTTTTTGAAAAGAAAATAAGAACTATCTAGGAATCAGCTTAACAAGAGAGTTGAAAGACCTATACAAAGAAAAACCATTAAACACAACTAAAATAAATAAAAGAAGACATGAACGAGTGGAAGCACATGCCCTGCTCATGGACTGGGAAGATTCATGTTGTCAAAACAGCAGTGCTCCCCAAAGCATCAATACAGTCCCCAAAAGAATACTTGTGACATTTTTCAAAGAAATAGGTTGAACACTCCTGAAATGGTTATAGAATCATTGCCCCTACCCTCCAAATGGAGCGATAGCACAGCGGGTAGGGCGTCTGCCTTGCACGCAGCCAACATGGCCGACCCGAGTTCGATTCCTCCGCCCCTCTCGGAGAGCCCGGCAAGCTACCGAGAGTATTCGATATGCCAAACACAGTAACAACAAAGTCTCCAATGGAGACGTTACTGGGCCCGCTCGAGCAAATCGACGATCAACGGGAGGGCCTTTACCTTACCTTTACCTTACCCTCCAAATAGCCAAAGAAATCCCAGGGAAAAAGAAGGTGGGAAGCATTGCTGTCCCCAACTTTAAACTGTACCACAAAGATGTAGTAATCAAAGCCATGTGGTACCGGAATTAAGACAGACTTGCAGATCAATGGAATAGAATTGAAAACCAGAGATAGACCGTCAGGTAGATAGACAGCTAATCTTCAATAAAGGAACAAAAAGTATGAAATGAGGCAAGGAAAGCCTCTTCTACAAGTAGTGTTAAAAAGATTGGTTGGTCACAGCAATAAAAAGAATGCAGAACCCTTTCTAAAGCATGCACAAAAGTCAAATCAAAACTGTTGAAAGACCTTGAGATCATTCCTAAATCCACAAGTTACCTGAGGACAACATAAGCAGTGACATTGAAGCTAGAGCATTGCCCTTAAGGAGTGGATGCCAGCGGCCAAGCAACCAGAAACAAGGGATACACACTAGAACTAAATTAAGAAGCTTCTGCATCTCACAGGAAGTGACCAAAATACAAAGACATCCCACTGACAGAAAATATTTTCTCAGCACTCATCTGATACAGTGTTAATATCCAAAATATGTAAAGCACTGGTAGAACTTTATAAGAAAAAGAATTCCGTGGATTGGAGCAATAGTACAGTGGGCAGAGTGTTTGTGTTGCACACAGCCAACCCAGATTCTATTCCTGGCACCCTATATGGTTCCCTGAACACCAAGAGGAGTGATTCCTGAGTGCAAAGCCAGGATTAAGCTCTGAGGGCCTCAGGTGTTGGCTTCCCCAAACAAATCCAAACCGAAACAACAACAAAAATCCAGCCCCACCAAAAAATGGGGTGAAAAGATGAATAGGAACTTCCTCAAAGAAGACATACAAATTGCCAAAAGGCATAGGAGAAAATGCTCTCTACCGCTAACCATCAGGGAGATGCAAATCAAAACAATAATGAAATAACACTTCACATCTGAGAGACTAGCACACATCAAATAAGCATGAAAACAAACTTCAATCAGCATAATAAATGACTGAATAAATAACAATACTCCTACATTGTATAAAAAATGAAAACAGTGTTGGCATGGATGCGGGTCGGGGGAGCGGACCCTCTTCACTGCTGCTGAGAATGTCTACTGGTGCAGCCTTTTTGGAAAATAATGTGGACAATCCTCAAAAAAACTAGAAATTGAGCTTCCATGTAACCAATCAATTTCACTTCTTGTATCATACCTCATCTGCCCCAAAACACAGTGCAGAAAGACATTTGTATTCCTATGTTCACTGCAGCTCTATTCACAATAGCCAAAATCTGGAAACAACCCAACTGCTCCAGTACAGGTGGTACATACACACAACGGAACACTACTTGGCCACATGAAACAGATGAAAGCATGCAAATTGCTACTACTGGGTGGATCTGGAGAGTATCATGCTGAGTGAAGTTAGAGGGAGAGAGGCAGACACGGAGTGATCTCTCTCTGATGTGGGATATGAAGAAACAGTAGGGCGGTGGAGGGACGTGTTCAACCAGGAGGAAGAGGGGGTGCTACAAGGTGGGGAAGTGTGATGTGTGAAACCCTATCCGTAACAGCACTGTAAATCTCTCCTAGGGGCAGACTTCTGGGTGCGAGGAAACAGGCCAGGGCATTGGTGGAGGAAAGTGGACCCTGTGACGGGATCAGTGTTGAAACATTGTATGCCTAAACCCAGCCACGAATAATTTTATAATTCAGTCACTCAATTAAAAACTATGCCACCAGGGGGCGCCAGAAGCACATGCACCGGAAAGCATGCACTGTCTAGAAAGTTTCCAGGTCCCAGGCAGGCGGCAAAGGTGGGAGCCGGGACTTGTAGGGGGTCAGGGAGTGACACGAGCTCCAAAGAGCGTGTGAAAGCTCAGCAAACAGGGCGTCACCCCAGGGGGCCAGCACTTCCCCAGAAATCCAGTTTAGAGACACGGGGAGAGAGAAGGCAGAATCAGCAGCTGCAGGAAAGCCAGGGAGGTCGAAGGAAACAGGGAGAGGCAGTCTGGACGAAACAGCCGCTCAGAGAACCAGGCAGGCACTGGGAGCTGAAGAATAAAATGAGTTAAAGGTAAAGGTAAAGGCCCTCCCGTTGTTCGTGGATTTGCTCGAGGGCGCCCAGTAACGTCTCCATTGGAGACTTTGTTGTTACTGTGTCTGGCATATCGAATAAGTCACGGGGAGCTTGCCAGGCTCTGCTGTGCGGGCGAGATAGTCTCGGTAGCTTGCCGGGCTCTCCGAGAAGGACGGAGGAATCGAACTTGGGTCGGCCATGGTGGCTGTGTGCAAGGCAAACGCCCTACCGCTTAGGGCGTTCGCCTTACAAGCGGCCAACATGGCCGACCCGAGTTCGATTCCTCCGTCCTTCTCGGAGAGCCCGGCAAGCTACCGAGAGTATTCGATATGCCAAACACAGTAACAGTAACAACAAAATGAGTTAAACGGGGAAAAAATCATGTAGAACGACAGCAGAATGGGCCAAACAGAAGAAAGAAGCTGGTTTAGGGGACAGTCTGAACAACCTCATCAGAGCAGAAAAAGGAAGGAGAAAGAGGGCTTGGTAAAGAAGCACCAGAGAACATTGCGCTTGAGCAGCTAGCGGGAGGAGAGGAAAAGGAGAGGAAGCCGGTTCAGAAGCAATGCCGAGGCGGGGTCAGTGCAGGAGGCCAGGAGCTTCCCTGCCTGTTTGCCCCTCAGCTTGGAGCACGAAGCCAGGAACAAACAGCCTCTGAGCACTGCTGAGAGTGGCCCCGACACCCCACCCCCACCTGAACCAATGAAAACTATCACTGTATCACTGTCATCCACGGGCGCCAGTAACATCTCCATTCATCCCTGTCGCGTGCCAGTGTAGCCCGATGGCGATGGGGTCTCTTTCAGGGTCAGGGGAATGAGGACCATCATTGTTACTGTTTTTGGCACATCGAGTACACCATGGGTAGCTTGCCAGGCTCTGCCATGCGGGCGGGATACTCTCGGTAGCTTGCCAGGCTCTCCGAGGGGGGTGGAGGCTTTTGGGGCTCCAGGAAATATTATGAAAACTATAAAAAGAAGAAATAGATACGCTTGAGATTATCTCCTACTTGCGGAATGATGGTGGTGATTTTACATGGTGATTTGTTCAAACTCCATGATTATATCAGTTTATTACATGCTGGGCACTTCAAACAGATGCATTATTAAATCTATATCGGTGAAGCTGGAAATTTTGTATAGAAATCTGGGGTTGGGGCAATAGTACAGCGGGGAAGGCTCTTGCCTTGCACACGGCCAACCCGGGTTTGATTCCCGGCGCCCTATATGGTCTCCCAAGCCCAGACAGAGGTTATTCCTAAGTGCAGAGCCAGGAGTAATCCCTAAGCATTGCCAGATGTGACGACCACCCCAAACAAAAGCATTATGTAGTACTAAATACAGCCATGTGTTTTTAGAAAAAGAAGTATTTTGATATATTTTTTATTATGCTACTACGTCTATATAATTACTTGAGAACAGTCGTTTGATTCACTAAATATGAGCATTTGATTATGGGGCAGCTCTGCAGAGAGAGCTTATGTTAATCGGGGGGGCTTGCAATTCCAGGCACACCCCAAGTCTGTGAATAGATTGGGGCACTGTGTATAGATAATCCCTAATCTCTGTGAGGTGATGGGTTTGTGCCTGTTTCGTAGGGGAAGAAACCGAGGTAGAGGAGAGGGAATATCCCCGCAGTCTCAGACTGGTGTCTGAAGCAGAAAGCCTGTCACGTGGTCCTCCTGACTGCCTGCTCCTCGGCATCCAGGGATGCTTGGACCCGCAGTGCTGGGGAAGACTAGCCACCCCTGGGGGAGTCGAGGAATCCAGGGTCTCACCTGGTGGTGCTCGGACCTGTGAGGTTCTGGGATGAGCTAGGGGTCTGTACCATGCAAGGCACGAAGTTACCCCTGTCCTCTCTCTAGCCCCTAGAACTTAACTTGGAAGGCGTTGCTTTGGGGCACACCCAGCCCTGTTCAGGGCTTACTTCTGGCTCTGTGCTCAGGGATCACTCCTGGCACAGGAGCACTTGGGGCTTGGGGACTGTATTGGGGTACCTGAGATCAAACCCAGATTGGCCGTAGGCAAGACGAGTGCCCTACACACTGTCCTGTTGCTCTGGACCCAAAAGAATGTTTTTATGCAGGAAACTTGGTGTCTTTTTATGCCACGGCCCCCGGTGTCCTGGTCCCTTCCTGCAGGAGACGGTGTCACACACACTTTCCCTTTAGAGGTGCACCTGGGCCGCGCTCACATTTGATTTCCTGGGAAAGGAAGGAACAGAGTGGCCTGCAGCCCCTGGCTCTCCTGCCCGGCGCAGGGTGTGGTGGCGCCCTGTGTTTCCATGTCCTCTGTCCCCCCAGAGTGCACGGCCTGGAGATCTATGGCCGGGATTGTGGGGACGCGGCCGCCCAGTGGATCACCAGCTTCCTGGACACGCAGCCCTACCGCCTGGTGCATTTCGAGCCTCACATGCTCCCGAGAAACTGTCAGAAGATGGAGAACATGTTCCAGCCAGAAGACCAGGTCAGAGGAACCTCAGGGTCTACAGCAGGCTCTCCTGGGGATCAGCAAGGTAGCCCCCCTGTTGGGCAGCAGAGCGAGTCGGCCCTGTCCTGCTTGCTCCTTTTGCCCAGTGGATCCCCATTGACAGTGAACAGGCTGGACACTCTTGCAGCTGCCATCCTCGTGAGGACAGTCTGCAGCTTGCAAACTGCCCCCTGCCAGTGTCTTTTTCAGAGCACTGGGGAGCGGCTGGCTCGTCACGTGCTCCTGCATGGTCAGTCAGGGCATGTGGGCCGGGGGCCCTGCTCTCAGGCCTTTATCGCCCAGCTCCACAGCTGTGATCAAAGGACTCTCAGCTGCGAAGCTGGCCTGCCTTCCCAGCCAGGCTCTCAGTCTCCGCCGTGAGCAGTCACTTGAAGGTGTCAGGCACTAGCTGGGCCCTCCCAGAACAAGACTGCAGGCATCACTTTCCCTGCCGGGCTAGAGCTCGGGGCCCCTGAAACATGGTGCTTGGTCATGTCAGTGTCAGTGAATACATGGGCCTCTGAAGTAGCAGATTAGGGCAGGGGGCCCGTAGTACAGTGGGTGGGGCATTTGCCTTGCATGCAGTGGACCTGGGTTCGATCCCCAATATCTCGGATGATCCCCTCAAACTCACCAGGAGTAATTTCTGAGGGTAGAGCCAGGAGTAACTCTGAGCCTTGCTGGATGTGGCCAAAACTGCCCCCCCAAACTAGCTTAATATTTGAATTGCCTAAAAGGTTCACAGACCCATGAATATTTCCATCCCCAGTGCTCAACCCGACCCTCCTTGTTAAGCTCATGAGGACTGGTGGGGCGCCCTCGGAAGGCGAAGCCATTTACGGGGACCCTGGCAGCTCTGAGGCCCAGGGCCTCACTCCCCTCTCTGGAGACGTCCCCCGAGCAGCACAGGTCACCGTGTTCGTGTCCTCCACAGGTGGCCTACTCGGACGCCAGCCCCTACATGATCCTGTCCGAGGCGTCCTTGGCGGATCTGAATGCCAGGTTGGACAAGAAAGTGAAGGCCGCCAACTTCAGGCCCAACATCATCGTCTCGGGCTGCGGGGTGTTCGCGGAGGTAGCTGGATGCCCCCTGTCCCCTTGCCACCCCCTCCCGAGGTCTTTGGCGCACTGGCCCTGCTCACACAGAATGTTTGTGTCTGGTTTGAGCACCGAGGCAGCTGGGTGGGTGGAAGGGCAGCACATGCCACCTTCTCCTTCAGCCTGGGCGTGAGTTGGGCCGCAGTCAGGCCACACACCCACTGGCCAGCACAGACCCCAGGTGCCCATCGGCGGCCGACTAGGGGACAGATGGTGGTCATTCTGTTCCCCTCAAACCCATCTTCGGCCCTGACCCTGCTCTTGTCTCAGACCTCCGACAGCCTAGCGCTCTGTGGGGGGCCTGTACGTTCCCTTCTAGTAGGCCCCCGACAGCCCTGCGCACCCATGGGTGCCACTTCCAGAAACTCCTCTCCCAGGCTGCAACCCCTGCTCCCCTTTGCCATTGCCCGTCCTCTGCTTCCCAAGCGGGGGTCCCTCTGGACAGCACCTCTCAGCTCTCACAAACGCGTCGCCCATCCCGTCCCCCTCCACCACGGAGACAGTCCCAGCTGGTCCGTCTTCACCAACGTCCCCAGCCTGTTCCTCTCAGATCATCCACCTCAACCACCTGGGTCACCCCTTTACAGTGTCTGGGCCCTGGGGGTCTTTCCCAGGGGTTGCCCCACTCTGGCCCCTCCTGAGGGGGGCGTCACTCTGCAGGGGTTGACAAAGAGTCTGTCACTGCTTTGTTCAGTGGACTCAGGGGCCCTTCCCCCAAGCTCTCGAAGGCCCAGCTGCCCCCTGGGCCGTCCAGCCCCTCCCTGATTCCCCTAAGACTCCTCACCCCCCTGCAGCCCTGGCAGCTCTGGGCCCACAGGGGGCCCCTTCACCTTTCATCCTTCACCCTCAGATCATAGCCCCCTCCCTTGAGAAGCTCGCCCAGCTCCCCAGACAGACAGATGCTCCCCTCCCCCGCCCCCACCTCCGCAGGACCCTCACCTCAGGGCAGTGCTGATGGGGGTCCCTGAGTGGGTCAGTTCATCTGCATCCATCCATAGGACTTTCTCTTTCCTCCTCTTTGCCCGGGGGCACCTTCCCTGGGGTGGGACTTTATCTGGGATTCAACCCCCCTTCCGTCATTTGTGTGTTGACTTTGGGGTTTTGGGCTCCACCCTGTCGGGTTCAGGCTTGCTTCTGGCCCTGCACTCAGGGACCGCTCCTGGCGGTGCTCGGCTCAGGCTACCCTGCATGGGGCTGGGGTGGAACCTGGGCCAAGAGCTTCCAAGACTCCCTCCCTGCTGTCAAGGCTGGTATAAATCAGATATAAAATATCTGGCCTCCAGTATTTTTTTATTGCCCATAAACGAGGTTCTTGACACATTTCTTTATTGAATAGCAAGTTAATTGTCTAACTGCAATGCTTATTTCTTTCCTTTCGGATTAAAAACGTCTGCTTTCCATTTTATTTTTTTCATATGTAGTAGGGGATGGAACCCGGGGCCGCTCACCAGAGCCTCCTTTGTCCCCCAGGGGCAGTCCTGGTCCCTGCCAGCACCTTTCCCCCGTGACCACAGTGCCCCCTTGTGGAGAAATGTACGCAGGACAGGTTGTTGCCGCTCAGCCCTGCGCCCAGCTGGAAACTGCCCTGTGTCGGGCAAGTCACTCACCGTTAGGGTGAAACTGAGCCTGAACCTTGACAGAGGCTGGTGATAAACAGGGAACTGCTGCATTTTAACTCCCAGATTCTATCTCTGGGTGGAATCCAGCGGTAGAACCATACATGGTCCCCGGATCCCTACCAGGAGCGATCTCTGAGCACCAACACACACACAGGGCTCCAGGATGTCAGCACGTCAGGGGTGCAGCTGGAGGGTGTGGGGTCCCCACCACAGAGAAGCCCCTTCTGTGTCCGCTTTCTCCCTTGCCCCCCTCCCGCCCTGCTCTTCTCCAGCCGTCATCCAGAAATACTGCCTGGGGTGGGTGGGCTTTGATCAAGGTGTGGGGCAGTGACTGAAACCCAGCCTTTCCTTGCGGAGGATTGGGGACAGCCAGAGACTGACATTACCTTTCTGCTGTTTGGGCTACACCCTAGCAGAGCTCACGACCACCCCCAGTCCTGTGCTTGGGGACCTTCCTGGTGGTGCTAGGGGAACCGTGCAGTGCTGGGAGCTGAGCTGGGCTCTCTGGCTCTTGGCCTGTGGAGCCCGAACGCAACCCACTGGGCTTCTCCTGGCTTTGTCAGTGCTGATGTGGGGGTCAGTATGGAGGACCCCTTCGAGCTCCACCTCCCGGTGGAGGTGTCGGCGTGGGGAACCCTGTCAGGGCTAATGGTCAGGGTGTCAGTGTGGGGGACCCCTTCAGGGCTAACGGGCGGGCTCTGGGTCTGCCCTGTTGCAGGACTCCTGGGACCGGCTTCTCATTGGGGACGTGGAGCTGAGGAGGGTGATGGCCTGTTCCAGGTGAGCAACTCTCGGGAGGGTGGGCAGGACCTGCTGCCCATCCCCCTGACACTCTGTCTGCGCCCAGGTGCATCCTGACCACCGTGGATCCGGACACCGGGGTCATGAGCAGGAAGGAGCCCCTGGAGACCCTGAAGAGGTAGGTCGGGGTCTGGTCGATCTGCATGGAACAGTGACCCCTGGACCCTTTTGCTCACTCGCTCTGAGCACAGTTTCAGTTTCCATTTGAAGCTCAGATCTGCAAAGACACACCGGACAGCTGCAGTAAATACCAACCGAGATGCCAGCAGCTCCTACTGGGCACTGAGGACTGAGGGGTACCCAGACTTAGCGGGGATGGCGGAGGCCTCGCGGGAGACTGAGAAGCTTGTTGAGGGGGAGGCAGGTCTGCCATATGCTGCCTTTATCCAGGAAAGGAGAGGCAGGGTGGGCTGGGAAGAGGGGAGGGAAGGGAGGGGATGAAGGGGGAGGGGAGGGAGCAGAGTTAGAGAGGGGAGGGAAATGAAGGGGAGGGCAAGGGAGAGGAGGAGAGGATAGGAAAGCCAGAAGAGGGGAGGAGTGGGGAGGGCCGGGGAGGGGAGAGACCATAGGTTGGTGCTTTAGAGGGAGCCAGGTTTGGCCCTAATCCCCGGATGACCCCGCATAGTCCCCATGTGACCCCTCTGGGCCCTGGCATTGCGGGGCGTGAGCTGCAGAACCTCCTTAGCTCCTGTACAAAACCAGTGACCTGTTGCCCAGGAACCGCAGATTCCTCACTGCTGTGAGGCCCCTCCCAGGCCAGGGTGTAGCTCAGTGGCTGGCACTTACCTGAGTAAGGGAGGCCTGGGTCTGATCCCTGAGGCTACAAAAATACTTGGGGACCTCGCCTGGTGGTGCTGAGCTACTCCTGGCTCTGTGCTCAGGGATCACTCCTGGCGATCTTGGGGGCGTATAGGGGGTGCCGGGGATCACACTTGGGTCAGCCACAAGCGAGGCCTGTGCACTGCTCTACATGCTGTGCTCTAGCCCAAGGATCGGACATCGAAGGTGTCTCAGGACAGTCCTCCAAAAAAGCTTGTCTAGCTGGAAACTGGGTTTTTCCAGTCTGGAAATAGCTTTTTTTTTTTTTTTTTTTTAATAAAAAGGCCAGAAGTCTCAGGTGAGGTTGGAATCAATGTTGTCCACACTGGCACCCCAGTATCCTCTCACAGCAAGCCTTGCACGTCAGAGGCGAGGAGAGGGCACTCCCATTGGGCATGGGGAAACTTTGGGGTTTCAGAGCCCCGGAAATATGCCATCAGACCAAAAATCAAAAAAGCAGCAGAGGGTGGTGCCAGCGAGGCCTTGCAAGGCAGGGCCAGAGGGGAGGGTGGTTGGGAGGTGAGAGAGTCACAGGCCGTATGATGTGAACTCAAGACTGAAGCAAGCCAGGGCTGAGCTGGTGAGTGGACTTGGAGCTCAGCAGGCGGCAGCGGGGGCAGGAGATGGGGCACCCTGGGGCTCCAGGCCAGTTGGAGACAGAGGAGTCAGAGGCAGATGCTCAGACAAGAGCGTCTTGTTGATTTAAGTATGGGGAGTACCTCATCTCTCCAGCCCAGCGGGGAGCCTCTTTTGGAGAGAAGACGGGGGAGCATGGCTCTGGTTATGCTTCTGCAGCTTGTGCGCTGGGCGAGCTGTCTTCTCCACAACTCCAGAGGCTGCTGTTTTGCAAGAGTGGTTGGGACTGGGGCCGCCCGAAGCCTGGTGATGCGCAGCTGTGTGCGAGGCATCTGACATCCCTGGGAAGAACCGCCGGGTGACTGGGGGCTAGCTTCCACTGACCCCCTGATTTCTCATGCCTTTTCCTATTCTAGTTACCGCCTGTGTGATCCTTCTGAGCAAAAACTATATGGAAAATCACCTCTCTTCGGCCAGTATTTTGTTCTGGAAAACCCAGGAACAATCAGCGTGGGAGACCCTGTGTACCTGCTGGGCGAATAATAAGAATCTTCTGTCCTGGAATAGACTTGCTGTCTTAAAAAAAAAAGTGCCAACATTTAAAGCACAGTGTTGGGGGAAGGAGAGGGGAACTGACACTTCTGCCTTTTCTTTAGATCTGTATTTTCTACATTTTTGCTTTGTTTTGGAGGGGCGGGGAGGGGGGGACTTCCTAGTGTGTCACTGCTCCCAGCAGCCCAGTACCCAAGGCAGAGAAACTTATCAGGACTTCAGGAAGTCACATGTCAGAGAAGCAAGGATTCCAAGTGCACCTCTTAACTACAACTGTGAATTAATTCTTTCTCCTCTGTTCACCTCTCAGCGAGCTGACCTCCATCATCTTCATTATCAGTCCAGGGCGAAAGCAAAGAGCAAGACCTGGTGGGCCGGACGAATGTTCTGGGATGTTCTATTTCCTCCCATGCATGGGCAGAAGAATTAGAAATTAACTCCTTCCTCCTGGGTGAGACTGGAAACACACCTTGCTTTGTCTCCAGGAGTTCCAGGAGAACTTCTGAAGCTCAAATGCTGTCCACTGGGAAAGATGCTAGTTTTCTGTGGACCTTTTGTGTTTTGGATTGTTTTGTTTTGAGGACACATCCAGCAATGATCAAGGATCACTCCTGGTAGTGCGGTGCTACTATCTATGGTATACTGGGGATTGAACTGGGTTGGCTGCATGCAAGGCAAATGCTATATCTACTGTACTAATCCTCTAGCCCCATAAAAACACGTAGTCTTATAAAACAGCATTCCTCAGTAAAAATTAGAATCTGTTAGATCCTTCTAATTCTTGGGTTTAAAAATAAATAAAGATATTTAGAAATAAAATTAGTTTTGTTTTTTGGGTCACACTCGGCAGTATTCAGGAGTTTCTCCTGGCTCTGCACTCAGGAATTACTCCTGGTGGTGCTCAGGGGTATTGTAATACCGACATGGCAGCACTGAGAAGGATGAGAAAGGAGAGGCCGACAAAATCTCAAGGCCAACCTAGGCTGCCACAACGAAGGAAGACAAAAATGATCGTCTGTACTTTCAATGCACGTACGCTAGCATCAGATGCATCCATCGAGGACCTGATGGTACAAGCGCGAATGATCAAGTACGACATCATTGGTCTGACCGAGACAAGAAGGCACGAATCTCACCATGCCGTTTTCGACACTGGAGAAGAATTGTTCCTCGGAACATGCGATAAAAGAGGTGTTGGAGGCGTCGGTGTCCTTGTCAACACAAACTTGGCCAAGAGCATTGATTCATTCGAATGCCTAACAACCCGAATCGGACGTTTACATTTGAATAGATGTGGCTCACTGCCTGCAGTTTCTATCTTCGTTGTTGTCTATGCACCAACATCTCATTATGATGAAAGAGAAATCGAGAAGTTCTACATGGAGCTAGAGAAGTTCTATAAAGAAGACCACACCTTCTACAAGATCATTGTGGGTGATTTTAATGCCAAGATAGGACCGAGAAGATCAGCTGAAGAACTTCACATCGGGACCCATGGCCTAGAATGGAACAAACAGGGTGAGAGACTGTCTGAGTTCATCATGTTGACCAAGACCATTCATGGTAACTCACAGTTCCAGAAGGCAGAATCTAAACGATGGACATGGGAGTCTCCCGGTGGACGATTCCACAACGAAATAGACCACATCATATTCAATCGATGGTTTTGCCTGACTGTGTCGCTGTTGTCCCAAAATTTTGAACGGGATCGGACCACCGTCTCCTTCGTGCAAAATTCTACTTCACAGAGCAGGGAGAAAGGGCTGCAAAGTTCAAAAAGAGAACTCCCAGAATGACCACCAACTGGGAACTCTTTGGTACTATTGCGGCAACATGGGAAGATGCCATTGTTGACAACATTGACGAGGAATACGATCGACTGGTTCAGCACCTCCATGAATGTGCGAGGAACGCCAAGAGAGAGATAGCCACAAAAAATCGCCTATCTTCGAAAACTCTTGAGCTAATTCGCCAGCGTGGTTTGGCGCATGCCTCAGGCAACCGCAAGCTAACGTCCGAGCTCGCAAAGCAGTGCAGAGATGCGATCAAGGAAGACCTCAAAGAGAGAAGAGCAGAAGTACTGGTAGATGCGGCAGAAGCCGGGAAAAGTATTCGTAACGCCCGCCTGTCCTTCGCCAACTATAAGACCAAGATGACTGCCCTCCGACGTCCTGATGGATCCATCACATCCTCCAGAATGGCAATGGAGAAGATTATCCATGACTTCTACTCAAATCTCTTCGATAGCCATGTCCACTTGCCGACATACCAAATTCCACAGGATGGATATGTCGTTCCCAACGTTCTCCATTCCGAAATCCGACACCCCATTTCGTCGGTAAAGAAACAAACAGCACCCGGCCCAGACAAGGTCAGACCTGAACACCTGAAGAACCTGCCGTCAGTACTCATCAATACACTGGCTCGGCTCTTCACTCGCTACCTGTCTGAATGCAAGGTTCCGTCACAATGGAAAACCAGCAGGACCGTACTACTGTTCAAGAAGGGAGACATCCATGACATTGGCAACTATTGCCCGATCTGCCTATTGTCTGTCATCTACAAGTTGTTCACTCGAGTCATCCTGAATAGGATTGGCAGAACACTAGATGAAGGACAACCATGCGAGCAAGCAGGGTTCCGCAAAGGATTCAGCACCATCGACCATATACACATGATAACCAAGCTCATTGAGGTTTCTCAGGAGTTCAAGATGCCTCTCTGTTTAACGTTCATTGGTTTAAAGAAGGCCTTTGATTCTGTTGAGACGGAAGCGGTCATTGAAGCCCTAGCCAATCAGGGCATTCAAGCCCAATACATCAGGATCCTCCGTGAGCTGTATTGCGGATTCACTACCAGGATCTCACCATTCTACAAAGAAGTGATCATTGATGTCAAGAGAGGGGTGCGGCAGGGTGATACCATTTCACCGAAACTCTTCAGTGCCACCCTCGAGAACATCATGCGACGACTGGACTGGGAAGGAATGGGAGTGAAGATAGATGGTCGGCAACTACACCACCTCCGCTTTGCTGATGACATTGTTTTAATAACACCAAACATCATCTAAGCCGCACAAATGCTGGCCGACTTTGACCGTGAGTGTGGAAAGGTAGGACTACAGCTGAATCTTACGAAGACAATGTTTATGAGAAACAGCCTTGTTCCTGACGCCCCACTCGCTCTCAACGGAACAACCATTTCCGAATGCAACAGCTATGTGTACCTAGGTCGAGAGGTCAACATGACAAATGACCTGGCACCCGAGCTGCGCAGGAGGAAGAGAGCGGCTTGGAACGCCTTCAAGAACGTCGAAGAAATAGCTAAGAGGACGAAGAACCTCCGGCTCTGGGCACATATCTTTGATTCCACTGTTCTTCCTGCATTAACATATGCCTCAGAGACCTGGGCCCTACGCAAACAAGATGAGAACGCTATTCAGGTCTCCCAAAGAAGAATAGAAAGAGCTATGCTTGGAATATCACGTTTCACTCAAGTGAGAGAAAGAATCCGGAGTTCTGACATCCGTCGACGATCAAGGATCAGGCACGCTGTCTCATTTGCCAAGGTGTCGAAAATCAGATGGGCTGGTCACGTAATGAGATTTAAAGACGACCGTTGGAAAGATCGCGTGGCCGCCCACCTACCAGATGGTCAGACTTCTTCGTCAAGATCATGAACGATCGGTTTGAGGCCCTTCATGTTCCCGGAGCGAAGAGATGCCATTGGGTTACACTAGCACGCGACAGGGACAAATGGAGACGTTACTGGCGCCCACTCGAGTAAATCGACGACTAACTGGAAGTTAAGTGATTAAGTGATTAAGTGGTGCTCAGGGGATCATATGGGGTGCTGGGGATTGAATCCAGGTTGGTCATGTGAAGCAAATGCCCTACAAACATCTTTAAAAAGGAAGTGGGATGGCTTCCTGCCTCTTTCTGCTTCTCTGACCTATGCATTTGGTTTTCTAAAAATCACCAGGAGCTGGCCACGCCAGCCAAGAGTCCTCTGTATTCTTGCTGGCTGTTTCTCCTTAAATCTGGGCGGGAAACAATTCTGAGTGCAGAGAAGGAACATGATTGTGTAATTAAAAACAATTCACTGGAAATATATCAAAAGAGAATAAAAGAAACCATGCCAGTCTTCTCTGAATTCAGCATCTAATTTTTCGACTTCCAGAATCATAGAACTCTGAGATCTGGCGAAGTCTGTCTCTGGTCATTTTGTCCCACGACCATATTAGGAAGTGGACAAAAGTTCAGAAAAATGCTTCAAAACTATAAATAACTGGAGGGTGGGCTGGCCAGTTTTAGACAGAGTCAGACTTTGAAAACTGACTCAGGTAAGTGGGCCAAGAATTCTGGGGCTGGAGAGAGAGCCCGTGGGTAAAGTGCCTGCCTTATGCACTGCTGATCCCTCTCACCCCATACAGTCCCGCGAGCCGGCCAGCAGTGATTCTTCAGAGTCAGGAGCACATCCTGAGCACTGCCAGGTATAGCTCAAACACAACGACTCGGGGCTGGAGTGATAGTACAGCCAGGATGCATTTGCCTTGCATGCTGCTGAGCTGGGTTTGATTCTCAGCATCCCCTATGGTCCTCCCAGCACTGTCAGAATATTCCTGCAGCCAAAGCCAGGAGAAATCCCTGAGCATTGCCGAGTGTGGCCTTAAAGCAAAAATAAACAAAACAAACTTTAAAAACTCAACATAAGTACCCCTCCTCAAAGAAAGCCAAGTGGGTTCCATCCCCCTCCCACCCGAACTGAGTGGAGCAGAACGGGTGGGCAGACATCTTTGGAGAACTGCTGAGCCAACGGCCTCTTTGCTCAAAGCTCCACATGCTTCCACTCAGCCAGTGGTGTGGGGTGAGCCTCCTGCTGGTGGCTGATGGACACAGGGGTGTTTTTCTGCTTGTTGGTGTGCAGTGGCGCATTCACACAGACACTGAGTCCTCCTCTACCCCTGTAGATCTACCCTAGACGCTGCCAGAGCTAGAGAGAAAAACAGCTCGGCCAGGAGCAACATGAAGGGGCCTGGGGCACCAGAGCAGATGCGCCAGCGCTAGGGAGCCGTGGGGACACCTGTGGTGTGGGAGCAGCTCATCCTTGGGGGCCTGGAGAGACCCCATG